ATACATAAAATGATTTTTTTTTTAATTGTGATCTTCCTGCTTCAGTCTCCCAAATTTCTGGGATTATAGGCAAAGATGGGTTCTTAAGATGTGTTCTGGAGCTTTGAAGAGTCAGACACCCTTGGCTGGGAGTGAGGACCCAGAGAAACAAAATCAAGTTCCACTCCCTGGTTTCTGGCTTCAGCTAGGGAGCGAATGGTGGCACTATTGACTATGTCAGGAAAGACAGGCTTGGAGGTAGTCAGGGACAAGAGCACTACATTAGGAGGGGGAAATGAAGAGTTCTTTTTGGTCATGTTCAGTTTGAAGTATCTATGGAGGCATCCAATGGAAAACTCAGGCAAGGGACATAGGAGCATAGAGCCCCGCCTAGCAGTTAGGTCTGCGCCATGAGAGTCACTGACATTTAGGTAACTGTCAAATCCGTGAGACCCGCTGAGGTCAGGGGGGGGGGGGGGGGGGGGGGGGGGGGTCTGTAGGATGAAAATCTGGTCCTAGAATCAGGGAGGTAGGAATTCCTGGTTCTAGAAAGTGGGTCAAAGAGGAGAAACCAGCCTCAAAAGACAGGGAGCCGAAGCCAAGGAGCACAGAAGCAAGGAAGGGGCTGCCAGGACCTTGAAAAGAGCCAGGGTTTGGGGACAGAAGCCACAGGGAGTAGACTGAAGAGTGAACAGGAGGTCGGGGCAGAGTGTAGGGAGAGGGCCGGTGGGGCCAGCAGGGAGGAAAAAGAGGGACAGGAGAGATGAGCTAGGTCTGCAGAAGCAGACACATCCAGGGCTGGGACTGGCTTTGGAAAGTCGCAGGGATCTGTCTTCCATTGCTCTGGAGGGAAGACAGAAGACACAGGTAAGATGCAGGTGGAGGTGGAGGGTGGGCGTGGCCGACATTCACGCAACAGGAATGAAGTGGCTAGCTGAGGGCAGCAGGGAGTGCGAGCCTGTGAGAATGACCTCAGAGAGTGGAAATCTGACCTCTGGGGACACATGAGGGAGGATGTCAGGCCATCATGTCAGGCACCTGTTTAACACTTGAAGTGAAACCAGCCCCAGTCACCCCAGGGAACAAGGGGCGTAGCAGCTTCTCATTTTCTCTTGGTCTTTTCAAGTTTCTTTTGTGTGGCTGAAATTGTCCCGCAGGTGCCGTTCTATATCTTTCTTTCTTTCTTTTCTTTTCTTTTTTTCCTTTTTTCTTACCAGGAGAGTGGAAACATTTCCCATTCACACCTAAACTCTCTGCCAATGTCACTGAGGCGCTGAGTGGATGCTCCATGCCTGGGTCACTCACCTTTCTCCCTTTAATGGGACACTCCAGCTGTTTCCTGGAGATGACTACGCAGTTTGAGTGGGAGGTGGCACGCAGTCTGCAGAGGAGAAAGGAGGCCGGCTGTAGGGCAGAGTGGGGGTGGTAGGGCAGAGTGGGGGTGGCAGGCCCCCTGGCACCCGATGCCCACTACTTCCCCTTTCTGGGGGCTGTTACCTGACAGGTGTGTTGCTGCCAGGTCACACTCTGAATTTTCCTGGATTTGCAGACAAAGAATGGGAGAGCTCGGCAACCCTCCCTGACTTCTCAGAGTGTCCAATGGTCGGGCGTGGAGCATGGGGGAAACGGGGATAAGAGGGATACCCAGGCAGGAGCGGCAGGAAGTGCCGGGCATGTGACCCTGGGCCGTTTACAGCTTAAACACACATTGCAACAGCCATGTTTGAAGTGGCAACAGGACTCTTCACTTGGCTGTTTTCCCCAAAATAGAAGTCCTTTGGCATCCCCCGATTCCTGGAGGAAGTATTGCCCCCAGGACACCTGGTCTTAGGCAGAGTACGAGGGACCCAAGTCCTCTCCACCAAGGCCAGAGGGACAGGGTCTCTTTTAGATGGGTAAAGAGGAGGCCGCCTGTGAGACATGTGTTCACCCACCCAACAGAGGCTGATCAGAGCTACCCACCTGGGGGCCAGCTGAAGTCCTTCTGGCTCTGACTTTTATGACTGAACAACACAGCAGTCACCAAGGTCCTATTGGGAGCCAGGGAGAGAGAATGCCCACCGACAGTGTCTTCTGGGCCACACTGGGCTGTGCACGACCTCCCTGACTGTACCCAAGGCTAATGAGGAAAGTCCTCACACCATCTGAGGGGGAGCCCGCAGGGCAAAGCCCGGCCGCAGGCTTCCCCACAGCACAGCCTTGACAGAGAGCGCCCCGCATTGCTCTTTCCCATAGCATTTGCATATCACAGATTTTACCCTTAAGGAAAGGGTCCTCAGTAGTGGGCATCAGACACCAGGTGGCCCCTGGGAGCTCCTGGTAAGAGCCAAGGAGCCCAGTGTCCCCCACCTTTGAGATTTTGGGGACAGAGCCGGGGCAGAGGCCTGCTGAGGTTTTGTTTGTGTGTGTTTGTGGATCTGAGTTCTGATGTAGGATAATCACCAACAGGTTGTCCCGGCTGGAACCGGAGCTGGCGCAGGGCCAGGGCCTGCCACCTTCTGGGTGAATATAAGAGCCGCCTGGGGCAGAGGTGCCAGCCACCTGCTGGGGGACAGGAGTTCGGAGCCAAAACTGCTGCTGTCAGGTGGGCAGGGTCGGGTGTTGATGTGGCCAGTTGTCCTCAGGATCAAGGATGGACACTAAGGAAACTGTCGACCAGAAAGCCAGAAGCAACTAGGTGTCCAGGGCCTGGCAGGGTGAGTCCCTGCCTCCAGGGTTCTCACCTTTCCCTCCCCACGTCGAGCTTCTCACCTTGTGAGGGACCGAAGGACTGAGTCCCAGAGGCCCCCGGGTGGGAAGCTGGCCTCTTGTTGGGGAGTCGGGCCTGGATTTCTAGAGGTAATGTGGGGTCAGTAGTAAGCACTGCGATTACCCAGCACACTGGGGTTATCTTATGGAATCAAGGATGTGAGGATGGAGGCCTGGCTAAGGATCTTAATTCAGGCACTGCCTTTATTTATTATTATTTTTTAATTTTATTGTTGTTGATGGACCTTTATTTATTTATATGTGGTGCTGAGAATCGAACCCAGTGCCTCACACATGCTAGGCAAGCGCTCTACCACTGAGCCACAACCCCAGCCCCACTTTAATTTATTCTTACGACAGTCTCCTGAGATAGCTATTAGTGTTTCACAGAAATGCAGACCGAAGCACAGAGATGTTAAATAGCTTGCCCAAGGTCACACAGCCAAGTAAGTGTTTAATATTGGAACCTTGACACCGCAGCCATGCCCCCCACTTCCACTTTCTTTCTGGTGCTAGGGATCAAACTCAGGGCCTTGTACACTTTCTCACGAGTGTTCTACCACTGAGCTATACTCCTAGCTCAAAAAATTTTTAAAGGACCTGCTCCTTTGCAAATGGGCTTATCATGGTCAAGCAGGGAGTCAGAGGCCCTGGGCCCCCAGCCTGGGCTTCAGGCATCCCTGGAAGAGCCGTGGTCCCTAGGCCAGGCTGTCAGAAGGGCGAGGAGGAGGAAGGGAATCACGGCTAGAATCTGTTCCATGTGACTGATGTATCGATGCTGTCAGTGCGGCCTGGAGTGCCCAGTTGCTCCCAGATCCACCCAGGAGACACCAGGGGGTGACAGGTGAGAGGAGGGAGCAAAGGGCAGCTGGGTGGCACGGAGCCAGCGAGGTGTGCCCAGGCGCCTCCCTCCTGTCTCCAGGCCTGTCATAGCACTTCCTCCCTGGACAGGGCTGGGGACTGGCTCCCGGCGCAGGGCTGCGACAGAAGAATGCAAGGTCTCCGCTGGCGTTACACGAGGCTGGTAAGGGTCCAGCTCGGGCTGTGGGTGAGGTTGGGACGGAGTGAGATCTCGGCCAGGGAGGGGCCTGGGCTGGGGTTGGAGGCAGGTGGGTGCTTTGTTCCCCTCTCAAGTCCCTTCCTGGCTGTCTAGGGGTTTAGAGCAGGGCCTGTGGCCCGTGTTCCCCGCCCCGTGGTCCTCAGATGGAGCTGTGTCCAGAGGCCCCCACACAGTGAGGGGCCCCTTATTCAGCCTGGGGACAGGGGCAAGCAGGAGCCCTGGGCATTTCTGTCCTTTTTTAAAAAAAAAATTTTTTAGTTGTAGATGGATGCAAAACTTTATTTATTTTTATGTGGTGCTGAGGATTGAATTCACACGTGCGAGGCAGGTGCTCTACCACTGGACATTTCTTATTCTCTAAGGGGTCTCTCCTTCCTAAAAGCCTGAAATCATTTTGTGTAGGTCTGTATGCATGCGCAAGTGTCCATGCATGTGGGGACACACACACACACACACACAATTACACACCAAGTACCCAAGTACCCCTGGTACAGAGCGGAAGCTCAAGGGAGTAAATGATATAGCAGCACACACCCCACCCACACACCCACACCTTTACACACTCCCAGCTTGCCCTCAGAACACAGTGACATGTAACACGCCATGTAACACACTCACCTACACTGGACACCTTCTCACACTGAGAAGCCAGAACAAAATTCACATGGAGAAACACATTTTATAACCACCTATAAAAACACTGTCTCACCTGTGACTACACACATGGTTCCACTGGCTGACAGGGAGAAATTAGAAGCACATTCTTCGGATTCTGGATGAGATACAGAGAGCTCAAGCATGGCGAGCACACAGCACCGTCCAGCCCAGCATGAGCCGTGCCAATGTCAGCCCTTGTCATTACCACTAGTGCTGTTGTGGTCCTTAATTCAGGCACTAACACCAATGGCTGCATCTCATAGGATGGGCTGCCACCTGCCCTTCTCCCCTGCCCCACACGGAACTCAAAAGCCAACGTCCACCCTGGGTTCAGCGGAAACAGGTGGACAGGTGCAGGGCCACGGCTCCACTGGCAGCACTGTGCCCTGGGGTGTGTGACCCTGCATCTTCACTGGTGGCAGCCAGGAAGGAAGCAGGCTGGAGGCAGGGCAGAGTCCTGTCTGTCACGGGCACCTCCCGGCTCTCCTGGGCTGGGCTGCAGGGATCTGGGCAGGGGGTGGGCAGTCAGCCTGAGGCTTCTGGGCTGGGAAAACAGTGCAAGTTGGTCCCTCAACCCATTGGCGACTTTGTGTCTTCACAGCCCAGCCAGATGGAGGACACCATGTCTGGGGAGGAGGGGGAGGAGGAGGAAGAGGAGGAGGAGACAGCCCCAGCCCCAGCTCCTGCCCCTGCCCCTGAAGACCCCGTGGAGCCCCAGCTGACAGAAGCCAGCCAGGTTCTTGGTGCCTCGGAGATCAGGCAGGTTCGGACACTGCCCTTCCCAGGACTTCAGCCCTGGAACTCTTCCCCACACCTGCCACTCCCAGGGACACTGGGGTCACAGATCTCTGTCTCCAGCTCTCTGTGTCACCTTGGGCGAATCAAGTCTTCTCTCTGGGCTTCCCTTTCCTTTCTAGTAAAAACCCAGTAACGTTTCCAGCAGCCTCTGCACGGGGCTGAGAGGCTGAGAACCCAGGAAAAGATGTTAATTCCAAGATGGAATCAGTCTTGGGAACTGAAGCCAATCTGGGGTGTAGGTGGGACAGGAGATGGGGGACAGGGAGGAAGGATGCAGCATCCGTGTATTCTCTGGCCTCTTGAGGACAAAGTGACCCAGGGGAGTGAAACCCTGCCTGGGTTTGGCTCCTGGCTCTGCCATTTACTCTCCTGCGGGTTTGGGGCTGGTTGCCCCACCTTGCTGAGGCTCAGTTTCCTTATCTATAAAATGGGAAGAAAAACTCCTCTGTCTCCAAGGGCTGTTGCCAAGAGGCACGAAGTCCTGGAAACAGGCACCGTGCCCGTCAGGGGTGCTGAGCCCAGTCCTCTGGGTCCTGAGGTTATGATGGAAGGAGGACAGTGGGAGAGGACCCCCTCACTCACCTCCAGCCCTGCCCCCAGCTTAGCCTCCACCTTCCCGCACGAGTCACCGGCCACCCCTGGAGTCTTGTTTTCTGTACGTCGAGGGACGGCTTTAGTCTGCGGAGCCTGTACCGGCAGATGGAAGGCCACAGTGGGCCAGTGCTCCTGCTCCTGAGGGACCAGGATGGGCAGGTGAGTTGGGCTGGGGTTCTGGGGGACAGAGCCGGACATCAGTGGGTCCAGCCCATGACAGCCTTAGGGACGAGAGGCAGAGGTGATAAACCAAGCCACCTCTAACAGACCCTGCTGATGGCGTGGAGGCCTACCCCGCTCAGAGCCAGCCCAGGACACATGATCCTAAGCTCCTTCTACATCCAGACTAGATGGATTCACCCCAGAAAGGTCCCGGCCCTCTTGGAGCTAATAGTTTAATGGGGGGAGGGCTCAGGCCTTAAGCAAATAATCATTTGACCATAAAACAAAACTGCATTGTTAGCCTCAAAGCACAAGAAACTATGGAGGGATTTTAAGCAGGTGATCTACAGCTTAAATATCAGTGTATTTTTTTTCTAATGGACAGAATGCCTTTATTTTATTTATGTGGTGCTGAGGATCAAACCCAGTACCTCACACGTGCTAGGCAAGCACTCTGCCACTGAGCTACAGCCTCAGCCTGTGTTCTTTTTTTTTTTTTTTTGAGTCTTTCTTTTGGTGCAGGGACTTGAACTCCTGACCTTGTGCATGCTAGGTAAGCATTCTACCCCTGAGCTCTACCCCCAGCCTAAGGCCATTGCTTGTTCGGAAATCACCCCTAACTGGTGGGAGAAGGATGAGTTGGAGGAGCTGAGAAGGGAAGCAGGTCCGAAGAGGCAGCTGACTCCTGCATTTTATAAGAGGAGGCTTGAGGTAGCTATGCCTGACGTCCATGTGGTCTTTCCAATGGTGGATTTCCAAGAAGGCTCTCCATATAAAAGGAGGGGTGGAACTGGTAGCTCATTTCAAATGATGATCTCCTGTGGAAGGAACATACTAGAGCTGGGAGAGGTCTCAGGGATTCCAGAAGATACACCCCTCCACTTGGGCCAGAGTGCCTGTCTCCAAATGCTGATGGAAGGAATCCCTGCCTGAGGGCCAGGAAGCTCACTCTCTTCAGAAGCAGCCCCTTGTGTGGCAGAAACCATTGACTATGAGGAAGTTCCTCCTAATATTAAGCCCCCAACCCAGCTGTTTCCAGTGATCCTACCTCTGCCACCCAGCGTCATTTATAATGGTGACAATCCACAGCCCACCTACCTATCCCACCAGAGGATGATGGCTAAGTCAATGCAAATCCCTCCACAGAGTGAATGAGGTTTCACTCCATATAGTGAAATACCAGGCAAGCAAGAAACATGATGTAAAGCATACCTATTAAGTGTGTTAAGTTTTTTTTTTTTTAAGCGTGATATTAAAGGCATTCTTGGGACAACTGGAAAAAATGGAATAGGAAGTAGCTACTAGATGACATTATGGGATTATTGTTAATTCTCTTAGGGGGGATGATAGTACTGTGGTTATGTAAGAGAAAGTCTCCATTCATAGGAGATGAACTATTTGGTATGGTCATAGTATCTGCTGCTTAATTTCAAGTGGGACAGAGAAATATATAAATGAAGAGGGAGAGGGAGCGGGGGGGGGGAGAGAGAGAGACAAATATAGCAAACAACTTCATGATTTTGAGTCTAGTGGGGGGATCTGTACTGTGTTTTGAAGTTTTTTATGTTTGAAATTGTTAAAGAAAAGTGAGGATAACAACTTTAAGGATTTTCAATTTGAAATGATGCAAGGGCACTCTCCTGTAGTCTCAGCTTCTCAGGAGTCTGAGGCAGGAGGATCAGCAATTTAGCAAGATCCTAAGCAACTTGATGAGACCCTGTCACAAAATAAAAACTAAAAAGGGCTGGGGATGTGGCCGGTGGTAAAGCGCCCCTGAGTTCAATCCCAGTGTAAAAAGGGCGGGGGAATAGAAGTGAGGGGAGCAGTGCCCCAGACCAGCCCATTATATGGAACCTTGCTTTCGTGTGGAAGTGTGCACACCGGCATCAACCTGAGACTAGAGGAAACACACCAAAAATATCATGAAAAATTACCCTGGGGAGCCCGAAGGGGATCTGGGAGGGTCCTGTTTTGTCTTTGCTTGTCTGTGACCTCGGGTGTTTCTGGAAGTACTTGTGTAAAGTAAGTGGGTTTGAGAAGCAGCGGGAGGGCGCTGACACTGAGAGGCCCCACGGGCTCTCCTGTGGATTGGCAGGGAAGGGGTGCAGGTAGAGACCAGGGGGCTCCCCACCCGCTCTGCCCCTGGCTCCCCTGGGGCCTTGAGGACAAGCCTGCCTCACGGAGTCTGCAGGACGGGGTTGCCAGAGACCCCAACTCCCTCCCAGTGTCAGACCCCTGTCCTCTGCCTTCCAGATGTTTGGCGCCTTCTCCTCCTCAGCCCTTCGACTCAGCAAGGGCTTCTACGGCACAGGCGAGACATTCCTCTTCTCCTTCTCCCCACAGCTGAAGGTGAGGGTCCTCATTTCCTATGGGGCGGGGGGCTCTATGGCAGGCCACAGTTCCCAGGGTCCCAGTGGCCCCCAGCTCCAACCTCCATGCTGGGCTGCTTGGTGTCCCTCTCTCCACCCAGGGGAACGCAGCAGGGCAACGAAGAGCAGAGCATCCCCTTGGCCTGTCCATCTTTAAAAAAGAAAATGCTCTGTAGGTCTTGAGTGACCACTGACGGGCTGAGGGGAGGGGTGCCGCTCTCCAGGCACAAGCTGGAAAGGCAGCAGGGGCCCAAGAGCAGATGGTTCTGAGGTGTGGTGGCAGGAGGATGTGGCCAATGGCTTCTTGGGAAGCACAGGTGAGGTCCTCAGCTAAGAGTGAGGATGGAGGAGGGGCATGAAGGAGAGGGAGGGAGTCACACAGGATCCGCAGCGTGGGGAGGGGGCCCTAGAGGAGACTGTGGGACAGGACCGCCAGGCTGTGGCGGGTGGAGGTTTGGGCCTGTGAGTTTCCAGGTGGGACAACCCCTCAGCAGTGTCCATCACCTCTGCCAGGCCTGGAGAAAGGTGGATGGGAGGGTCCTCCAGGATTGGGGTTTTGCCAAGTTGGTTGAGCCGAGGCAGGAAGGGAGCCGGGCATGGTGGCACACACCTGTCATCTGGGCAACTCGGGAGGCTGAGGCAGGAGGAGTGCAAGTTTGAGGCCAGCCTCAGCAACTTAGCGAGTCCCTATCTCAAAATAAAATAAATAAAAAAATAAAAAGTGCTGGGGATGTAATTCATGGTAGAGCACTTGCCTAAGCAGAACTCTGGGGCACATCCCATCTCCCTGCCCTCAACCCCCCCAACACACACAGGCAGAGAGGGAAGAGCAGGTTGAAGGAGAGAAAATACAAAACGCACCACATGGGGCTGGGGTGTGGCTCAGTGGTAATGCCCTGGGTTCGATTCTCAGAATCACATACAAATAAATAAAGAATCGAACCCAGGGCGTTACCACTGAGCCACTGAGTTTTTATATATATATATAAACCCAAAATGCATCACAGAATCTAGGCTGTAAAGAGGCAAGGGAAGCCACCAGAAACTGAGGGATACTGGGACAAAATTGGCCTCAGTAGAGGACAGGTCTCCCTGAGGAGCAGGGAACAGTGTGTTGACCTGATGGATATGGCATTCAAGGGACATTTGAGCTAGACTGTGGACTTGTCCCTGATGAGGACAAGTCCCCCGAGGTGACCGCGGAAGACAGTAGCTGAGAACCCTCTGGAGGTTAAGAGAAAAAGACTGTAGGCGGGGACAGGGACAGAAGTTCACCCAGGAATCAGGAAAGAGGAAGGGATGGTGAGTGATGGGGGTGAAGAGACCCGTGACCGATGGCCACAGGTGGCTGGCATCTCAGGTGGCACCATCTACCAAGGAGCTGGGGCTCTTTCCTTATTTTTGTTTTTTGGTACCAGGGATTGGATCTGGGGTGCTTAGCCACTGAGCCACACCCCAGCCCTTTTTATTATTTTATTTAAAAAATATTTTTAGTTGTAGATGGACACAATGACTGTTTATGTTTTTTTATGAGCAAGCCTCTACCACTGAGCCACATCCCCAGCCCCCTTTTATTTTTTCTTTAGAGACAGTAAGTTGCTGAGGCTGGTGTGTGAGCCTCCTGCCTCAGCCTCCTGAGTCGCTACGATGGAGCTGAGGCTCTTGAAGGAGGGAGAAGCTGTCAGAAAGACCAGGTGGTCTAAGGTGACAAACTCAGCTCTTGCTTCCCGCCATGGGGTTTCTGAAGGACAATGATAATAGTCCCAAACATCTCCCATCCCAAACGTCTTCCATCCAACAATTTTCTGCCTCTGGGTCCCTTATTGAAGGAAGCCACTGAGCTCTGCTTGCATGGCAGGGAGCATCCTACTTTTAGCATGAATCAACATGACGGCTGCTGGTGGGTCACCTTCCCGCCTCCACACACCAGCACCATCCTCACATCAGTCCCCGGAGGACTGTGCCATTATCATCCCCATGCTACAGAGGAGGAAACTGAGGCAGAGAGAAGTTGAATGATGGGCCCCAGTTAACTCAGTTGCCGGAGGTGAGGACGGGACAGGAGTCTGAATGCAGCCGCAGCACAGCACGACCTCTCTGAACTGCAGAGGGTCCCCGGCTTAGGATGCTCCTGTGCTGGGGAAGGAAAGCTGAACACTGAACTGAGTAAGAAGGGCTCCGGAAGAAGCGCAGAGGCACCCGTGTCTGGTGGGGAGGGTGATCAGGGAGGCTTCCTGGAGGAGGAGCTTCTGGAGATGGATCTTGATAGACAAACCCAAGATGAGCAGGCGGCTGAGGGGGTCAGAGGAGTTCTCAGAGCTGTGCTTGGGGGAACGAGAGCACATTCAGGCATCCATAGAGACAGGGTGGAGCAGGGAGTATATGGCTGGGCACTGTCATCAAGAAATACTGATTCACATTTTCTTCTATGGGTGGAGAATTAGTTCCAGGGGCTTCGGTTTGCTCTGAGCTCTTCTAATAAGTGCAGACCACCTTGCCAAAGGCTGTCTGTCTAGCCTCCACCAGCCAGAGCCTCCTCCAGTCTTCCTGGGAGACGGGCGCCAGTTGCGCACGGTCAGGATGCTGGTCATCACCACTGCCCCTCCAGTGCCCACATACTAGAGTTCTAGAACCTTCCTCCTACTGCAGGCCAACTCCTTGTCTGCCTCTTGCTGGCTCCCTCTCTTCCTCCAACCCTCTTACTGTCAGGGATCAGTTCTGGGTTCTCAGCTCTTCTCTGCCGACCCTCATTTCCTCTGTGGTTTCGTCCACCCTCACAGGTTTCCATGCCAACCACATGCTGATGACCTCTTCCCTGGACTCCAGACTCACACAGCCAACCGTTGCCCAGCACCTCTGCTTGGTTCTCCAACATGACATGTCAAGCTTAACCTGTCTGAAACTGAGCTCCTGTCTTTGCTCCATGAAATCTGCTCCTCTCCCTGTTTTCCCTCACCAGAGATAATGGTACCTCCATCTTCTCTGCCACTGTGACCAAAAAATCTTGGAGAGCTCCCTCTTCCTCTCACACCCGCATCTGGGCTAACAGCTGCCTCCGCCTATGTTCAGAATCCTCCACGTCTAGACGCATGCTTAGCTGTCACCCTGGTTCAAGCCTTCTTTGTTCCTGCTGCAGTATCCTAATGGGTCTCCCTGGTTCTACCTGCAGTCCTAACAGTTAGCTGGAATGATCCTTTTGAAAAGGAAGTCACAGCATGTTGCTTTTTGGCTTCCTTTTTCACTTGGAGAAAAGCCAAAGTCTGTACAAAGACCAATGACCTGGCCTGTCTCTGATATTGTTTCTTACCACTTTCCTTCCCCTCACTTTGCTCCAACCACACTGGCCTGAACTGGCACTTGGACATAGGTCTACTCTGCCTCAGGGCCTTTGTACATGCTGTTCTGCCCAGAATGCCCTTCTCTTAGGTCTCCACATGGCTCCATCCCACAGGACTTTGTCCTAATGTTGCCATTTCAGTGACTACCCTGCCTAGGTTATTTAAAATTATCACCCCCCCTATTCCCTGAAAACCTTTATTGCCCTTCTCAGTGTCATTTCTCTCCCTAGCATTTTCATCTTCTAACATGCTATTTCTTACTTTTTTATTTGCTTCCTTCCACTAGAATGTGAATCCTTTGAGGCACAGATTTTAACCTACTGTGTTAACCATTGTACCTAGTACTTAAACCGTGCCTGGTGCATAAATGCTAAAAAAATTACTGAAATGAATGATTTTTTCTTCAGGGGGACACTGTCTTCCCTGTCTATGGTTATGGAATCCTGTCTCTTAAAAAATTGGTTAATTCTTTACTGTCTTTGGTCTTCGGGCATTTCTGTGTCCTTCATAAATTCCCAATGCTTCATCCTTTAATTGCTATTCTAAGCAGCACCATGAACTTCATCTTAATTTTTTTCTGTACCAATATTTATCTTATGGTTTCAAGTCTGAAGGTCATGTCTTTGAAGGAAGTTGAGGAAGTGTTCAATAGTTCTTTTTAATTTTTTATTTTTGATACTGGGGATTGAATTGCGGGGGTGGGGAGGGGCTTAACCACTGAGCCACATCCCTGACCTTTTTATTTTTTAAGACAGGGTCTCACTAAGTTTCTTACAGCCTTGCTAATTTGCTGATGCTGAAGCTGGCTTTGAACTTGTGATCCTCCTGCCTCAGCCTCCTGGGTAGCTGGATTACAGGCGTGTGTCACTGTGCTTGGCAACAGTTCTGTTTTCCTGTGGTTACTTGCTAATATTATCTCATCCTTTCTGAGCCAGGACTTTTCTTTTAATTAGTCCTTTTTAGGTTTTGTTTTTACAACTAATTGCTGGCAATAATATACCTTTGTGGCCCTTTAGAAGTCCTTTTATTGCCTAATTTGATTCTTAAATAATGTATTTATTTAACAAATGAATTCAGCCACAGCACTCCACTGTGCCGGGGACCAAGCTGCCCTCTGGACCGTACATTTCAGTGGGCGGATAAAGGCACACAGACGCCGCCGAATGAGTGCTCTCCGAGGGTAAACGCCAAGGAGGACAAGACAGGGCTGGAGGAAGAACGGCCTTAATAGGGATGTCCAGGAACGTTTCTGGGATGACCCTTAAGCTGAAAGAGAAGAGGGTCCTAGTAGACCTGGGGGAAGAGCCCTCTGGGCAGCAGGACCGGGGAGCACAGAGGTCTAAGCAGCAATGAGCTTTGGATGTTCCAGGGACAGCAAGGCCAGAGTAGCTCATGGGCAGTCAACAGGGGAGAAGAGATCAGAGAGAAAATCAGGGTGCAGGCAGCTGCGCCAGGGGCTCTAGTAAGGAGACGGATTTCCTCCATTACAGATTCCAAATAGAACACTCAGGTCACAGTGTGGAGATGGGCTGGGGCAGGAGCTGGTGGGACAAAAACATTGGGAGGCTGTGGCCAGGGCACGGGGGAGGAGGCAAGTTGTTGGGGACAGGCAGGCTTGGTGTGACCTGAAGTGAGAGATGCATGTTCGTGGTAGAATCAGCCCCTGCTCCACTTCTTTCCTGCTTTGGAAGCAGGAAGCCTCAGAGGTTTCTGTTCTATTCCTAGAGCGAAGGCGCTTCTAGGCTGTGGAAACTCAAACTACAGGGTGTGAGAGGTGATCAACTAGGAGAAGAGAAATCTCAGGAGCCTGGGGCCCAGAGTTCCTGCAGCTTGGTTGGGCCCTGGAGGCTTTATTCCCTCCACGACGCTGCCATCTAGTGGCTTGGAGTCAGACTGCACAACCAGGACTCACCAGTAACCCTGAGCTTTGCCTGTCACCCCAGGTCTTTAAGTGGACAGGAAGCAACTCTTTCTTTGTGAAAGGAGACTTGGATTCCCTGATGATGGGCAGTGGCAGGTGAGTGTCGCCATCCTCCCGAGTCTTGGGGTGGAGTCTGTGTTTGGACCCTTTCTCTCTCCATAACTGCAGGCTGTAACTGCTCCAGATGAAGTGGGGAGGCTGGGGGTTCACTTTCTCCTTCAGTCACTGTCCACCCCCTGGGCCAACCTCTCAACCTCACAGAAGCCAAGGAGCGAGCAAGAAGATGCACAAACTCCCCCACCAGTTTATACAGCTGAGTCCGAATTCATGTGACTTTGGGTACAATGACATGGTTGGATGAGGCTGGAGTCCAGAGATGGCAAGACTAAGATTTGCCAGTGAGCCCAGTGATCCTAGGGACCTAACTTTAATTAGAGGAAGGCTACATCTGCCCTCCTCTAATAACCCGGGCTTCTGTATATGTGTCTGGGAGATGGAGAGAGTTAGGAAAAAGGAGGCTGGTCTCACTCTTGGTGTGACCTTCAAATGCAGGCACATTAATGAGTTTTACCCTGAGGGCAGAGATGAAAGCATTGCTTGATTAGTACCAAATTCTTTTGCTTTCCCAGCTGCCTGAAAAGCCTCCTTTGAGAGGCAGCTTGGCACAAACACATCAGCCATTGCTGATTTGCAGTAATTCACTTCTTGGCTCCAGCCTAGGTTTTCTGTGAAATGTGGGGATCAGAATGTTCCAAGTGTCTGGGCTGTGGGGATGGCTGTACCACTGTATGTATTTATGAATATCCTTGAATTGTCTTTAAAAGTGCTTTAAGCCCCACAGGGAACAACATGCTGAATCCCCCCGAAAAGTCAGGATAAGTTGGTCTAAGGAACAATGAGGAGCAAACTGGGCAGCTGTGATGGCATGGCTAAGGCTGGCGGTGGTGGATTCTGAGGCCCGACATACAGGGCTGAGTCATGCCAACATCTTCTTCTTCTTTCTAGCGGCCAGTTTGGGCTATGGTTAGACGGAGACCTGTATCACGGGGGAAGCCACCCCTGTGCGACCTTCAACAATGAGGTGCTGGCCCGGCGCGAGCAGTTCTGCATCAAGGAGCTGGAGGCCTGGGTTCTGAGCTGATGCCCTGTGCCAGCAGCTTCCTGGGCCACAGGGACTCAGACCTGCTCATGGATGCTGTCCAGGTCTTCCTCACATGGGGCAGCCCCTTCTGAAACTAGGATGACATACTCATGTTGACTCTGGCTGTTGGACAGCCTCCTTGTGGCTTGAGGACAGACAGGTATGGGGGCAGACACTGTTCTGCGTAAGTGATCTGAATATGTGAAAGACACACCTTACCCAAGAAGCAAAGAGTACCTCATGAAAATTACTGTTATAGGAATTCAACAGTGAATACATGTTTATTGTAGAAAACCCAGAAGACACAGAAAAAATTTTAAATTGCCAGGTGTGGTGGGACACAGCTACTTGAGAGGCTGAGGCAGGAGGTAATCAAGTTCAAGGCCAGCCTAAGTAACTTAGCAAGATCCCATCTCAAAATAAAATAAATTATATATGTGTAATAAGAATTGTAGGGGCTGGGGCTCAGCGGTAGCGCTATTGCCTTGCATGTGTGAGGTACTGGGTTAGATCCTCAGCACTGCATACAAATAAAAAAAAGTCTATCAACAACTAAAAAAAAAAAAAAATATATATATATATATAAAGAATTGTAATTAGAAAAAAACAAAGTACATGTATAAAGACATGAATTGGCATGAACATACTTTATATATAAAGATATGAAAAAAACTGTGCTGTATATGTGTAATAAGAATTGTAATGCATTCTGCTGTCGTGTATTAAAAATAAAATCAATTAAAAAAAAAGGATTGGGATTGGCTCAGCAGTACAGCACTTGCTGGAGGCCCTGGGTTCAACACCTGGACGCAAAAATGATGAATGAATGAATGAACGAATAAATGAATGAATGAATAAATAAATAAATAAAACTGTCTAAAATGCAAACTCCCCAAACAGTAATGTTTTCATGTATATCTTTCAAAACAATTTTCTATGGAGATACATGTATATATATTTTTTCTTACAAAAACAGCATTCTTGTCATGTATAACTAATTAGAAGAAAACAAACAAACAAACAAAAACCTGTATTCTCTTACATGGGTGGTGTTGTACCTTGTATGTTTTAAGAATTACTTTAAAGAACGCTGTCAAACCTCAGAAACCTGGGCTCAGCCCGAGGAACTATCAAAGACTCTAGCAGCAGTATTCCTTCTCTTGTCCCGTGACTATTCTAGAACTCTGGGGGTCCTGCATGCCACCAAGGTACAATGAAGATATGAAAGCAGCAAATGAACAGTATGCTTATTTGGGCAAAGATGCTGAACCTCTGTGGATGGAACTTGAAGGAGATGAGAAGAGAGAAAGGAGTGTTTTCTGGTGCAACAGGAGGTCTGCAAACTAAGAACACTCCTTAGTCCTCTCCTTCCCATGCCAGGGCCTGCCTTCTGCTAGAGGGAAAGATGCTATTCCTTGCCCTTGCTGCACGAGGAGAGCTCCCTGCCAGGGACCTTGTTACTGCCATGCCTCTCACTGACCCCACGGTGTGGAAGGACTAAGCAACATCAGAGTCCTGCATGGCCTGCATTCATGTGCACAGCAGGGTCAGACTGGGCACACACCAGGGTAAGGAGAAAGTGGCTCAAGAGCACACGTCCACACTGGAGACACATTCGTGAAGCTTTATTGCAGCCATTTCCCTCACCCAGCTGAAGGAACCAGTCGGTTCTATTCACAGTCTCAAGGTGACAATGTTCAGGAACTCTAGAGACTAAGCTGTAAAAATCCCTTTTTATACAGAGTCAAGATGTTTCATAAGAAAAATTTAGCCTTGTTAATGGCACATGGTTCTCATAATAAAAACAGTTGCAAACAGCATAAAGTGCAGCTGCCTTACATGTAAGGAAAGAGGCAAAAACAACAACAAACAGATTCAAGTCGTTTCTCAGTCAGCACAATGATACAATATTAGGATTACAAAACTGCAGAGTAAACCACAATGATTTAAAAATAAAAGTGGCAGGAAAAATAAATCTTAGCACAAAAATATTACATTCTTGACGTTGAGGCTGGGCATAGGAGCTGAGACCTCCAGCCGTTTCCCCTGCAGGTTTTACAGGCACCTCGGCTGAGCAGATCCAACCTGGAACCTCCCCTGTGCTTTCAGGAGCCCATGTGTGAACTGTCCCCACCAGGGCACCGTGGTAGGGGTGATGCTGCCACTTTCCACTGTAACCAGGGCATTTGGAACAGCTGGGACCCTGGGCTGTCACCACTTTCCATCCCTCAGTAGGGAATCAAGGGTTGACTATCACTCCCAGGAGAACAGTGGAAAGTGACAGCACAGGTACTTCCTGGCCTGTAGCCTGAGCTCCCCACTCACTCTGGCTGCCCACTGCCACCTTGCTCCAGGCTGCCAGGGAGCATCAGTGCGTAAGAATTCTCTCTGTTCACCGCCCACTTTGGCCCCAACCCCAGACTTTGTTCTTGGTGAACTTCTACACCCTGGGGTAGGGGATCTCCTGGGCACAGGAGCACTGCCTGACCATGATGGTACCCTCTCTACTGTTGGGAACATCAAGTCACAAAGGGGAAGCTGGGACCCACTTGGTAGTCACCAACCTCAGGAAAGGCAGTCTGGTCTGCTCTGAAACCTGTAAAATGCCTGGAGCAAAATGCGAAAACAAAGTTCCAGGTGAGAATAGCCCCAAGGACAGACCCTGTGACGACCTCTGAGCAGCTCAAAAGGCAGATGAGGAGACAGGCTAGAGGGAGGCCTCTCCAGGCTGGGCAGTGGTGAGGCCCTAGGAGATGGACGGTGAGAATTCAAAGAAAAACAAGCTGCCGGGTCTGAAGCCACAGCAGACTCCAGCGACCTGGCTGGAAGGATCCTCTGCCTCTGCAGATTCCTGAAAGGGGTTTTTATGCTCCACTGAAGAGGAGGACGGAGTGTGGCTCAGTGGCAGAGTGTATACCTAGCTGCAAGAGGTTCTGGGTTCAATTCCCAGCACCACCAAAAAAAAAAAAAAAAAAAAAGGAAAGACAAAGAGGCCGGAGCCCCAGGTCTGCTCACCAGAGCTGGAGCCGACTCCTGGCCCTGGCCCTGGCCCTGGCCCTGACTCCTGGCCCTGGTCTACTGTTTACCACAGCCGTGCAGCTTGTAGGGGCTACCAGAGTGAGGGCAATGTCTTTCACTGGTAAGTTTAGGTATCATTTGAGAAGCTATCCTCAGTAGAGAAATTTTGGGTTTGAGAGACATCTCTCAGGGGACGGAGATTTTATTTATTTTTAATCATGTCTATTCATGACACTTTCAACTTCAAAGTTGTGCACTTGTCTGATTTCTAAATTAAAAACAAAAAACAATTACCTGTCATAGGAGTTCAGAGTAGATAGAGTTGTTATTCTAAGAAAATAGACTACTAAAGGAGAAAGTTAATGTTAAAAATAGGCAAAGTAATGCTTTTCATAGCACGTATAGGAAGATTTGCCCAACAGCATTTTTTTTTTAATAAAAATTACTTACCTTTAGTATGTGTATATATTCAAAATACAGAATAAAAGCACTAGTTACTAAATTTGTGAAACTATGTGATTAAATCCCCTAAATTGTTTGGGGGAGGGCTTTTTGTAAGTGTCCGATTACAGATTTCATGCCAAGTCATCTTTAAAATTTAAGGCGTTTGGCTGCTCCTGGGAAGTGGGCTGGACTGTGGGCTGAATCCCTGTAATTCCACTCCGGTTTTCGAGGTGTAATAAGTGGGGCTACAACATCACCATCCTATCAGGAAGAGAGAACTGGAATTAAAGAAAATCCAAAGCCTGGTGTAGTGGGGTACACTTGTAATCCCAGTGGCTCAGAAGGCTGAGGCAGGAGAATCGCAAATTCAAAGCCAGCCCCAGCCACTTACCAAGGACCTAAGCAACTTAGTGACAACCTGTCTCAAAATAAAAACACAAATAGGACTGGGGATGTGGCTCAGTGGTTAAGGGCCCTGAGTTCAATCCCTGGCACTAAATAGGGCTGGGGACATAGCTCAGTGATGAAGAGGGGAAGGAAGGAAGGAAGGAAAGAAAGAAAAGCCAGTTTCCATCATTTCATTTCTAAATCTTAGGCATACATATGTCCTTAATGTCCTTGGCTTGCAGGTAGATTGCTTCTGGATATATTTTTTCTTGGGAAATTCCAAATTATATATGCCCTGTGCTTGGTCAACTTGAAACACTACAGTCCTAAGCAGATAAGGGCCTTCATGGAAAAAAGCCACCAGACCTCTTTTCAAAGATGGGTGGAGGCAGCACACTGCTGCCTGGGTCCAGGCACATCTCCTCTGCACACTTCCACGAAACACAAACTCTATCCTGTTTCCAGGGGAATGAGCAGTTGCACTGGTTTCTTGCTTTTCTCTTGCCTGGTCCCTTCTGAAATAAATGACCTAGGTCTACAAAATGGCAAAAAAAAAAAAAAAAAGAGGAAGGACAGTATGTACCTGAACTTGAATTTTTCTCTGCAATCAAAGTTTTTAGCTGGGTGTGGTGGCTACTCAGAAAGCTGAGACAGCAGGATCCCAAGTTGGAGGCCAGCCTGGGCAACACAGCAAGGGCCCATCTCAAAATAAAAGCAAAACACTCCCACCCCCCACCAAAAAATAATAACACCAACAAAAAACCCTCTAACTCTGGCATAGACTCCAATCAAATGAACCCTTCACTCAAAATGAGGTTGGTCTCAAAGTAACACCATGGCCTGAATGCAGACAGCATAAGCAAGGCCCTCCAAACCAACTGTCTTCATCTGTTCTAGAATGTGTGGGTGGATTCTCTTTGGTTATAGGAAGGTGTACAATCTTTGCGAGTCTCTAGTACACTAGGGACAGGATGCTTGAAGCAGGACACCTGCTCTTCCTCTACTGATCTGCTCTCAGATTCTCTTCTCCTTCCTCCACTCTGCCTTCATCTAGGGGCTCTCGTGCTGAGCACCTTCCAGCCTAGGTTTGACCAATGGGAGACTCAGTGGGAGACTGGAGGTGAGAGGACAGCAGAGGCGAGCCATTCCCCCTCTTCTTTCTGGCATGGCAGCAGTGGCCATGACCCATCTAAGCTTCTAGCTTCTGCCAGGGCCCCAGTTCCTGGACCTTCCTGCTTGCTCTCTGGGTCTTTCCTAGGAGGGGAGCAACTTCCGCTGTAGCATCCCTGTCCTCAGCTCATTCTTTTATCTCTGCCAAAACTTTTGAATTTTATCTTCCACGTTAAATTCCCTCTGTTGAAACTATAATGGATCTGACTTGACAAGAGACTTTAATTGACTTGACAGCCATTTAATTGCCATAATGTCACATAGGAAGACCTATCTCGAAATTGGCATTATTTATCTTCAAACTCCCCTTTACTACTTCCATCACACTTCCTTTTTCTAACCATCCTGATTTCAACTCTAGTGAATTTTATAAATGCAAATTTAGAGATGTCACTCTCCCTGATTTGATGGCTCCTGGTTGTTCTGGCTCACAGGACTGCAGAAAGCTCCAGACACCTCACACTTGATCCTCCTCCTCTGGTGCTTTGAGACATGCTCTCTCCCCTCTTCTGGCCCATCCCCATGCTGCCTCTGCCCCCAGCCTTTCCAGAGCAGAATCTTCTCACTCACCCTTCAGATCTCAGTTTCTAAGCCTTTTTTTTTTTTTTTTAACATTTTTTTTTTAAGATATAGATGGATATAATGCCTTTATTTTGTTTTTTTATTTTTATGTGTTGCTGAGGACCAAAACCAGTGCCTCACGCTTCTTAGGCAAGTGCTTTGCTACTAAGCTATAGCTCAGCCCTCTAAGCCCTTCTTTTCTTTTTAATTTTTATTTATTTATTTTTTAGTTTTAGGTGGACACAATATCTTTTATTTTATTTTTAATGTGGTGTTGAGGATTGAACCCAGTGCTCCGTGCATGTCAGGTGAGCACGCTACTGCTTGAACCACCTCCCCAGCCCTAAGCCCTTCTTTATTCAGTTTTTTCCAGACCAATGAATTATGGCTAAATCCTCCTCCTTTTTTGTGCTGAGGATCTGCACCAGCCCAGTGAAGCACTTCCCATGGTACTGCAATTGTTATCTACCTGGATATTGTTATTCCCAAGAGTAAGACCTGTGGGACTAAGTAATTATGTCTGTCTTAGGTACTTGTTATGGTTTGGATATGAGGTGTACCCTGAAAGCTCATGTGTGACACAATGCAGGAGGTAAAATGATCAGTTTTTGAAAGCCATAATCTAACCAGATGATTAATGCATTTGATTAATAATTTGAATGGATTATTGGATAGTAACTGTAGGCAGGTGGGGTGTGGCTGGAGGAAGTGGTCACTGGGGGCATGCACCAAGGATCATATATTTTCCCTTGCTCTTCTCTCTCTCTGCTTTACCTCAGATCCAGAGCAATGGAACTGACCGATCATGGACTAAGAGAACTGTGAAACCATGAGCCCAACGAAACTTTTCCTCTTCTAAGGTGTTCTGGTCAGGTATTTTGGTCATAGCAACAAAAAATTGACTGACATGGTGCTGTTCCACCCCTGGTACCTACCAGGGCCTGCCCCCCCCCCAAAAAAAAAAAAAAAGTACTCACACTGAGTGAATGAATGTACCTAGATTTAGGGGAGTTATCACCACATAACCACCCTTTCATAGTCCCTTGTCTCTCTGCTTCCAAGTTCCAATCCATCTTTGGCTAGAATTTTCAGTGGTTTAAGTTTTCTTAGCTGCTAGAGTACCTGAGATGGACTGACTTCCTTATTCCCTGGGGCCTTGCTCTACAACCACATAAGATAACAAACACACAAGTAAATAATTCCAGGAACAAGATGGGTCTTGAATACTCTCAATGATTCCATCCCCACTGCACACAGGGAAAAGTCCTCAGCCTATCAAGGGTGCTCCATAATCTAGTCTGTTTTCCTACTTAATCTTGCGCTACTGAACAGTAAGAATCTTCTGCTCTGGTCAGAGGGGTCTCCTTATGCTTCTCTTGGACTGCCAGACACATCCTGCCTGCTACAGCCTAACACATCCAGCTCTGGGGTTGACCGGCTCCTCCCTTCTTCACAGGCTTCCCTGCAGCTCACCTTACCCTTGGAATCTTGGCTGGATGAACTGGTATCATGCCTCTGGCACTAGACAAACTGCTGGCTTACTGAGCTAATCCTCCATGTGGGACCCTGTGTTCTGCTCCTTTAAGCATCCAACACAGGGCAAAAAGACCAACGCTGGTTCTGTGAGGGAGAGAACTAGTCCAGGAAGTAGAGTGCTACTGTCCACCTGCCCACCTAGAGGAGCACGGAAGTGTGCTGGGTGGGCAGGGTTAAGGGCCCCTCCAGGAGTTTACAAACAGAGTGGACAGTACAGGACCATTATGCCACTGGAGCCTGAAGACAGGCACTGGAAAGCTGAGCTAGTCCCTGAGGTGAAGCTGCAAGTAATCAACACCCTGAATGGACGAATGCCCTAGTATATATGGACTCAAAGACCCACTTCTTTGAAATCTCTAGCCTATGGTCTTCAAGGCCACCTATCTCTCCTCTAATCTTATCATACAAACCCTAGACAACAGACCGGTAGGCAACCCTTCTCTTGGGGATCCCTCCTGCTGCAGGACCTCTGTTTTCTTTTTATTACTTTAATGAATCCTGTTTCTTTGCTTTCATCTTTCGTGTCCATGGATCTCATTCTTTGAATTTGTGACACAAAGAACCACACTGACCCTTGCATCTCACTACCAATTACATTCAGTCAGTCAACATACACGGAGTGACCACTCTCTCTGTGCTGGTCGCCTCCTCCATGTCAGTCAATTTTAACAACATTCTCTATAGGGTTGGCAACTGTACCTTGGTTCTTCCATCTCTCTATTCTCATTCTAGAAAATATAAAAAGTTTATTGGCATACCAAATTAACCACATTGGGAACCCTGAGCTTGAAATAGCAAGTTAAAAAACCTGTTATTGAGCAAGGGGTAGAGCTTAGAAATAGAATTCTTGCCAAGTACACTTGAGGCTCTGGGTTTGGTCCCCAGTATTGTCAAAAAAACAATAAAACAAGTTATCAATTTTATGTGGCCTTAAACAAGTTAACTACTCAGCTGTAGAAACCTTTAAAAGATGGGGACACTATGACTCATCTGCCAGGGTCATTGGGAGGCCTGGATAAGACAACTAGTGAGACTATTATATAGCACTATTCACAGGGCTGGGGATGTAGCTTGGAGGTAAAGTGCCCCTAAGTTCAAGTCCCAGTACGAAAAAAAAAGCCCCCAACTTTTCAGTAGATGGAAAAGATTCCTATGACTTTCCTTAAAAATTAAAGAATGTAAAAAAAAATAAAAGTAAAAATTTAAAGAATATGCCAAGTATGTCAATAAGGTCATGTACCTTTGGCTTGCTGAAGTTGTTGATTAAACACCAATGAACGAAAAGTTGTCGTGCAGCAAACAAACTCTTTTCATCTTTCTTCTTACAATACACCCGAATCACCTGCTCTGCAAATTTCTCTGGTAGAAGCTGTGAAACCTATTTAAGAGAGAAAAGATTTCACTGTCACCTTGAACTCATAAATTAGATGTGTCAGCTGTTCCCCAGGTGCTTGAGCATCCCCCCGCAACATCCCCCACACTGGGGACTGAACTCATGGCCTTGTGCGTGCCAGACAGGTACTCTGCCACTCAGCTATACCCCCAGCCCTTTTTATTTTGAGACAGGGTCTCACTAAACTGCTCAGGCTAGTCTCAAATTTGTGATCCTTCTGCCCCAACATCCCAAGACTGGGATTATAGGTATATACCACCATCTCTGGCCTGAGCACTGTTTTTGAGGTTTATTAAAAGTACTATATATTGGGGCTGGGGATGTGGCTCAAGAGGTAGCATGCTCGCCTGGCATGCACAGGGCGCTGGGTTCAATCCTCAGCACCACATAAAAGTAAAATAAAGATGCTGTGTCCACCTAGAACTAAAAAATAAATATAAAAAAGTACTATATCACTTTGCAATTTTATCCCAGTTGTAATCCAAAGAAAAATTTAAGCTGAGACTCCAACCTTGCAGCATCCATCTCCCACCAGAATCATCACTTGACCTTTAAACAAAACACTGCATTATCACTGATGTTTAGCAAACGGGAAAAGCTATTGTTAAGATGGTCTCATCTAGATATGCTTTTAAAAAAAAAATAGTTTTAGTTGCTGATGGACTCAATACCTTTATTTTATTTACTTACATGTGGTGCTGAGGATTGAACCCAGTGCCTCACACATGCTGGATGAGTGCTCTACCACTGAGCTACGACCCTAGCCCTAAAGATAGACTTTAATAATAAAGATAAACTAGGCTGGGGTTGTGGCTCAGTGGTAGAACATTTGCCTAACATGCATGAGGCACTGGGTTCAATCCTCAGCACCACATAAAAATAAAATAAAGATATTGTGTCCACCTAAAAACTAAAGAATAAATATTTAGCATGGACTTTAGAATCTTACCTGCACGTAAAATGCAATTTTACTATAAAGGTTTGCCAACTGTGTACCACTATAATGGTATTTATTTTACATAAGTAGTTACCTGACTTTTATCTATACTGACGGTTCTGCTGAGGTCACTCTTACAATAGAAGCGAACATGATCAATTGGATTCTTGTCTTTCATCCCATAATCCATGTTGATAACCTTAAAGCAATAAGTAATCACATAATCATAAGAATTGAATTTACGATCATTGTAAGAAATAGATCAGAGTCCTCTGGGGGTTCAGAAGTAAGAATACTAGTAAGTTGCCATAGGGTAGAATAAAAATAACTTTAGTGCATGACCAGCTACAGGAACTTGGTTTAAAAACTTGGGGGAAGGAGGAAATATATCTGCATGTTCAACATATTATAAAGTTATTCTACTATGTGATAAGACACTGGTAGACACTAGATATATCACATTTTTTATACAATCCCAGCCACCACAGACCATGTGGCCTAGACTGAAATTGAACAAACAATTAAAAAGTTACAAAGCAACCACATCTGTTATATGAGCTACCAAGAAAAGCAAAGGATGCTTTGAATCTTTCTAACAGTAGACCTAAGGTATAAGGTAGCCTGGATGCTACCAAATGACTGGAAATGTTTTCCTGGGAAAGTGGCTTTACTCAGAGGGCAGTATTGAACCAGGCCTACCATGGTAGGAAGATATTTCTAGGAAGAACAAACAACTCCAAAGCTGCAGGGCCAGAAACTTCCTGATGGATTTAGCACCAAAGTTATTGTTGATCTTGGCAAGAGTAGTTGTAGTATAATAATGGCGACAGAAGAAAGATTTAGGAATAAGTGAGAAAATAAAAAATAAATGAAGACAACTCTTAGATGTCTGGCTGTTAAACAGAGCCAAAAAATACAGGTTGAGCACCCCTAATTGGAAAACCCAAAATCTGAAACTTTTTGAGTACTGACACGAAATTCACATTTTTGGATTTTGAAACATTTTGAAATTCAGATTTTTGGATTAGAATGCTAATAAATGCAGTAAACGCTTTGCAAATATTTCCAAATCTGAAAAATTTTGAAACCTGAAACACTTCAGGTTTTCAAGAATTTTAAATAAAGAGTATTCAACCTGCACCTGGAAAAGGATTTGGGACCCTCAGAAAGGTAAGGAGAGGGGGCTGGGGTTGTGGCTCAGCAGTAGAGTGCTTGCCTAGCACAGGTGAGGCTCTGGGTTCGATCCTCAGCACCACATAAAAAAAAAATACATAAATTAAAGATATTGTACCAACTACAACTAAAAAATAAATATAAAAGAAAGAAAGAAAAAGGTAAGGAGAGACAACTTTCAAGAATTTTACCCTGAAGGGCAGGAGAGGGATTAAAAGGAGTGTGGTATTTGGAATTTTCTTAAGATCAAAGACTGTCTAACTTCTGATGGGAAAGTCCAAAGGAGGCAAGAGAGAAGTGAATAGGTTCCACAAGAAGTGATGCACTGTGGAGGCTCTCCAGCTGCTCTGCTGGATGTGGTGGCACCAGCCCCATGAGGTTCCTAGATTTTCATTTTTAATTTATACAAGGTCTCACTATGTTCCCTAGCCTGGCCTCAAACTTCTGAGCTCAAGTGATCCTACTGCATCTTGAGTAGCTGGGACTACAGACACAAACCACCACACCCCATAAGACTTTTAACAATTTAAAGTCAATTAACATTGAATACGATAAAAAATTTAGTTTTTCAGTTGCAGCAGCCATACTTTTAAGGGCTCAATAGCCAGCAGAGACAGGAAGCAGAGATGCAGAACACTTCTGTCATTACATGAAGTTCTGTTGGGCAGTGCTACTCTAGAACTAAGTAGAAAGCTTACCTCCTAAATCACTAATAAGGAAGACATTTCCACACTGTAATAGAGGTAAAGCTAAATAGAACTGCAGGTGGAAGCAGGCTTGCTTATTTAGTAATGCAAGATGAGGGAGCTCTGACTAAATGGCTTACATGTACTTTCTCTGAAATAAGGATCAAGGTTGGGTTATACACTAAGGGTGAATACACTTGGGATTGGGGAGCATGGGTGGAACTCTGAGAGGAGTAAAGACCATTTGAAATAGTCATTATGGAGACTACAGACTGCACTAAGCCTGCAAAAAGTACAGAGGTTGTGACCTTGCACTTACAGCAATGTAGTGAATGTCTCCAGCAGCATGTGTGTGCCAGGTACAGGTAGGGAGAAATTTAGATTCAATTCAGGTTGTTAGGCTATTACGTTATTCAGCCTTTTGCTAGGTAAAGAAGTTGAAGGAGACTGTAGAAATCAACCAACTTAACAAATCACAAAATCCAAGTTACACTGGAGGAAAAAGAGAGAAAACTGACAAGCTGTCAGTACAAGATGAGAGGAGGCCCTGATGAGCGAAGAATAAGCAAATGGAGAGGAAAGGGGTTTGTGGGCAAAACACAGGATGTTTAAATTAGTGATTTTATAGAGAGGGTAGTTTTGGTGAAGTGTTGGTGAAGTTCAAAATATAATCTGCTAGAAGTGAAGTAGGTGAGGTCTCTGAGGACAAAATGGAGAGACCGAAGAGCTGGCTCCACGCAGAGCAGGAGGCCGCCCAGGACAGTGGCAGAGACGCAGGAGAGGAAGACCCTGAGCTGCGCCAACAGTGTCAACTGAGGAGAAAACAGATGGCTGGTGCAAGAGGATCACACCTTTAGGACGGATTCCTGGAGTGGGATTTCTGGGTCAATTCTAATACCAGAAAGGCTTTCCGACTTGGTGTTTTGTACCAGTTTACCCTTCTACATTCACATACTTCTATTATCCCAGAATTTTTTATCACTTTTTGTTTTCACAAGTCTGAAGTTAAAAAATAAATGTTCACTGCTGCATCAACTTATTTGATTATTGGTAAGGTTAAGTCTAACAGCCATGTGTACATCTTCTCCTATGTGTGGGCCCTTTAAGTATCTCTGGTCCTACATCCATCTGGACACCGCACTTTGAGAGAAAAACCAGATGGGAAGTTGAGGGACGATGAGGATTGCCCACTGCACTAAGGACAAGACAGTCCCTCGAGGAAAGCAGTGAGGGCAGGGCAGGCAGGCAAGAGCCCAGGGAAGACGTTCTGGCAAGTGAAGTCTTTCAGAGTCTGAGGAAGTCAAAATAAGAGATCCCTTTATTTCTAGTGGAACTTCCTCTAGATAAACAGGAAACTGCAGCTTGACCTAAAGATCCCAGGCACTTCACTATGAGCCAGTGGGCTCATGGACCACTCATTTACTCATCTTATCCTTTGCCAAAAAGAATGACATGGATAGACTGCCCTTCACTCAAGGATTTGCCAGCAGGAAAGTAACAGAGGAGAGGCTTAGGGAAAAATAAATAAAGGAAACACTGTCCTCGAATTTCAGAGGAGCAGAACTTTAAAAAGCATTTCCTATAGAAAAAATAACATAAGAAAGCTATTTGGCCTTCTCATCAGATACAAGAAGATACTGTGGCCTCTATGAAAATAAGAATTAAAAAAACTAAACTTTTTCCTTTGCATATTTATGTAGGCAATTTCAAAAACTAATTGGCATGTTGTACTTCTGTGATCAAAGATATTTTTTAAATCAATATACAGTGTTCTATTAATCACATGACAATTATATTAAAAATACTGATAAAACAGCACAAAGAAAATTTTAAAACCAGTAAATAATGTTGGTTCTGAGACCACAGGTGATTCTCTTCCTTCCTTCTTTCTGTATTTTTCCAAGTTTTTACAACGAACATGTACTAATTTTATAATGTGGGGGAATTGTGCCTTTAAAAAAAAATTCTTCATTTAGACTATTTGGCCAATTACTTACATCCACTATGAAATCTTCAGCCTTCATTTCAGCCTCCAGGAATATACCATCAGGTTTAGCATCAGCAACCTTTTTTGGAAGGTGTTCATAGTCTTTCTAGAAAAGATGAGATTACCATGTTAGAAATCCAGTTTTGCATCATTTAGTACTTGTGCCACAAACAAGTTCCTTTTCTCTGGGTGCAATGGTGCAAGCCTGTAATCCAAGCAACTCAAGAGGCTGAGGCAGGAGGATGACAAGTTCAAGGCCAGCTCAGCAAATTAGTGAGGCACTAGGGAATTTAGCAAGACCCTGTCTCAAAATAAAAAATAAAAAGGGCTGAGAATGTAGCTCAGTGGTAAAACATCCTGGATTCAATCCCCGGTACCAAAGCAAACAAGCAAACAAATAAACAAGGTTCCCTCTCTAAAAATGACATTCCATACCAAGTGTAGGGGCACATGTCTATAATCCCAGTGACTGGAGAAGTTGAGACAAGAGGATCACAAGTTTGAGGTCTAGTCTAGGCAACTTGGTAAGACTTGATCTTAAAATGAAAAAATAAGGCCGGACACAATGGTGCATGCCTGTAATCCCAGCGGCTTGGGAGGCTGAGGCAGGAGGATCACGAGTTCAAAGCCAGCCTCAGCAATGGCGAGGTGCTAAGCAACTAAGTGAGACCCTGGCTCTAAATAAAATACAAAATAGGGCTGGGGATGTGGCTCAGTGGTCCAATGCCCCTGAGTTCAATCCCCGGTTACCCTCCACCCCTAGGAAGAAAAAAAAAAAAAAAAAGGCTAAGGATCTAGCTCAGTGGTAGAGTGCCCCTGGGTTCAATCCCCAGTACTGAAAGGGGAAAATAGCAACAAAAAGTTACTTCATTAAGAAAAATGTTTAGAGTTGGGCAGGGTTCATGCCTGTAATCCCAGTAGTTCAGGAGACTGAGGCAGGAGGATTGCCAAATTCAAAGGCCAGCCTCAAGCAATTTAACAAGGACCTAAGCAACTTAGTGGGATGCTGTCTCTAAATAAATAAATAAAGGGCTGAAGATAGGGCCCTGATTTTAATCTCTGGTACCAAAAAAAAAAAAAAAAGTTAGTGCTATCCCTAACAATTATAGAATTATAGCTCTTACCAATGCTGTCCTATTAAAAAAATAGAACAATTTTCATAACAAAACTTCACATTTAAAAAAAAAAATATGACACTAACCTCTTAGTCAAACAAGGGGAAATAAAATCTAACCCAAGAAATGACTATGAGGTAGGGCATGGTTATCAGTTGACTCATGTATGGCTTTCTGGCAAACAAACAAACAAAAAAACCTTACTAAACTGGAGGTGAAAACAGACATTTGAACTAAAGGAGAAGGCGAGAGCAATTACCTCTCTCCAGGAAACTGCTTACTGAAGTAAAAAATATGACCTCTCCAAGTTCACTGTTTATGTTATCAGTAAAGTCAACAGCAGGCTATTATTAGTAATTAAGTTTTTTTTAAAGTTGTAGATGGACACAATAGCTTTACTTTATTAATTGATCAATTTATTTATTTATGCAGTGCTGAGGAGCGAACCCAGTGCCTCATGCATGCAAGGCAAGCTCTCAACCACTGAGCTACAACCCCAGACCAGTAATTAAGTTTTGTAGGGAGACAAAAATCATAAAAAAATTTTTGACTGATGGACGTTAATACCCCCCAGCCCTGGCACTGTTTTAAGGGTCAATGATAGTTAAAACAGATCCTCAGAGACTCAATGACACTCATACAGGTACATTATTTTGAGGGTCCTTAGATATATTCCCTTATGTTCATTTTTCTGTGCTTGGATCTACTCAAAATCTGAGGACCCCCGTCTTCCTGGATGAGAGAGAGAAGGTTTGCAGTCAGGCCTGGCTTTGAATCCTTGTTGACTGGTGCACATGAGCCAGTTATTAACCTTAGCCAAGACTCAGTTTCCCATACAGGACAAAGGCCTAAGAATACTGTGTTGCTGTGAAGACTAAATGAGAATAAATACAAAGAGTTTAGTACCGAGCACGGGTATTTTTTTATTTTTAAAAAATATTTATTTGAGGCTGGGGTTGTGGCTCAGTGGTATAATACTCGCTTTGCATGTGTGAGACCTTGAGTTTGATCCTCAGCACCACATAAAGATAAATAAATAAATTGTGTCCATCTACAACTAAAAAAAAAAAAATTATTTTTCAGTTGTAGATGGACACAAGACCTTTATTTATTTATTTTTATGTGGTGCTGAGGATCAAACCCAGGGCCTCACATGTGCTAGACGAGTGCTCTATCGCTAAGCCACAACCCAGCACCTTCCTGCGGCACTGGTATTTTGACTGATTAATGGTTTCCTCTTGGAGGACTGAGAGTGCAATAACTTTTCACCAACGGGAAGATGCTTGATAATTCAACTTACCCTTTCAATCTTCCTTGCTTCTCCTGGCTGGGTCTCACCCACATACTTGTATAGATTACGGTATTCAATATTTTTTAAAACCTTTTGTGCTGCATCCAATTTGGGATCAGAAGAGTATAAAATCTCCAGAAAAACGTTATCTGCAAATGTGATGAAACTGCAGTCATATTAAAATGAAAGAGCAAGGGCTGGGGATGTGGCTCAAGCGGTAGCGCGCTCGCCTGGCATTCGTGCGGCCCAGGTTCCATCCTCAGCACCACATACAAACAAAGATGTTGTGTCTGCTGAAAACTAAAAAATAAATATTAAAATTCTCTCTTTAAAAAATAAATAAAATAAAATGAAAGAGCAAGATTTAAAGACATGTCTACCGCTCTACTCCTGAAATGGTTTCAAGAAGCAATTCACAAATGTAGGCACATTAGGACTCTAGCAATGTACTTAAAAAAAAAAGAAAAGAAAAATGTTCCAGTTCGTGTTTTCTCTCATAGGATGGGAACTAGAGAGAAAAAAAAGGTGTGTGTGTGTGTAAATCCCATAAAAATAGAAGGGAGGCCAGTAGAGAGAGAGTGTTGGGGGGAGAAGAACTGGGGAATGAAATTGACCAAATTATAGTTATAATGTGCACATGTGTGGATTTGAATCCTAATGTTACATATAATTATAATGTACCAATAAAACCTGTAAAAAAATGTTCCAGTTGAAGACTTGGATTTACTTCAAGGTGATCCAGTGCATGGGAAGGAGAGAGATAAAATAAGATGGCACTAGAGTTGACTGATGCCTGTCAAGCTTGGGAATGGGTACACAAAGTAGATTGATTTATTGTTGTTAGGCTTATTTACAAAAGATAATTATCCCTATATATACACAAATAAAATTACATCTAGGATCTGCTTCAAAATAGTCTCATAATTTTTATGGGAGTGGGTAGATATGGTGGATAAAAGTAAAATTGTTATGTTGATAACTGTTGAGGCTAAGTGATGAATACACAGAATTTTGAAAATTTCCTTCATTAAAAGTTTTTTAAAAAAATATGGACACAATATATTTACTTTTTTATTTCCTTTATTTTTATGTGGTGCTGAGGATCGAATCCAGTGCCTCACACATTCGAGGCAAGTGCTCTGCTGCTGAGCTATAACCCCAGCCCTGCTTTTTTTTTTATATATATAATGGAGAATTTTAAAAAAAATATTTATTTTTTAGTTGTAATTGGACACAATATCTTTATTGTATTTATTTTATTTTATTTTTTATATGGTGCTAAGGATCAAACCCAGGGCCTCACACATTCTAGAAGAGCGATCCACCACTGAGCCACAATCCCAGTCCCCATTAAAAGTTTTTAGCCAGGCTGAGTGCAGTGGTGCATGCCTATAATACCAGTGGCTTGGAAGGTTGAGGCAGGAGGATTGCCAAGTTCAAAGCCAGCCTCAACAACTGAGTGAGGTCCTGAGCAACTTAGCAAGACCCTGTCTTAAAATAAAAAATATAAAGGGCTCAGGATGTAGCTCAGTGGTAATGCATCCCTAGGTTCAGTCCACAATACTATACACACACACACACACACTCAGAACAAGAAACTCAATACTGATATAAAAGCATTATCTAACATATAATCTACATTTAAATTTGTTTACTTGTCTCAGTAATTTAACTTAAGGATTTTTGTTGGATAGAGAAATCAATCAAGTATAAGGATAATATTAGGGGGTCATGCTTTTTATGGATTCTCTTAATCTGGAACTAGATTTGTTTATCAAAATGTTGACATTTAGAAAAGTTCAGGTAGTTGTATTATAAAGTATTCTGTTACCATGAATGGTTATGCTAAATTTTATCAGTCAGTAAACAGTAGTAATCTTCAGATTTTTCTAGTAATTTCTTCTTCTTCCCTCCCTCCCTCCCCCTTCCTTTCTCTCTCTTTTTTTTAGGGTGCTGGGATTGAAGCCAGGGCCTCTAATGTGCTATGCAAGTGCTCTACTAAGTTACACCCCAAGCCCCAGTAATTCATTTTTACCATATTTTACAGAAAGTATCAATCTACAAGGGGTTAGAAACTTTAAAAGTTGGTTCTTCAAAGACAGTTTGAGAAGATCTGGTTCAGTTTTGTTCTGGTGGTGGGCTGCAAACAGAATCTATGCATGTTGGAACAGTAGGACCTTGGGAAGCACATGGACAAGCAGCAGCTTTTGTTTTGTTTTGTTTGTTTTCCTATTTTGGTGCTGGGGATTGAACCCAGGGATATTCTACCATTGAGCTACATCCCAACCCTTTTTATTTTTAATTTTGAGACAGGGTCTTACTGAGTTGCCAAGGTTGGCCTCAAACTTGTGATCCTCCTGCCTTAGCCTCCTTAGTGGCTGGGATTAGAGGCAAAAGCCATATCTGCTTCTTAGGCCACTTGGCTTCTGTTGTTTTTGTCCATTTTCAGAAATTCTCATCTTTCTACTGATTCTACTGATGGCTTTCTAGTTGTATTTTTAGTTGAACAGAGTCAATTTTGTGACTTGCAACCAAGAACTCTAGATTGAGACAGGAGGACCGCAACTTCAAAGCTAGCCTTGACAACTTAGTGAGGCCTACTTTTTTGCTTTATTGATCTTTATTTCCCAATCTACACTTTCCAAGCTTAAAAAACTAGCTGCCACATCTTCACCTATTTTCTCTCACCCTAAGCTGCAGATATTGTTTCTGCCAAAGTATGGAGAGATATTCCTATCATCCCATGTTTTAGAATGAAAATGATGTTGAAAGTTTTTTAGTAGTCTAGTTTTGTTATAAACTAAATAATAATGAATTTTGAATACTTACTTTCCAAGTATATATTAGGAACTCTGCCTCATTAAAGCATCACTACAGAACTATATGCTAGATAGATAATATATATCCCCGCTTCATATTCAAGATTGAACCCAGTGCCTTATGCATGCTAGGCAAGCACTCTACCATTGAGTTACATCCCCAGCTGTATACTTTCTTTTTATACATGAGGAAACTAAGGTTCAGAGAGGTTAAATCACTTTACTGTGGTTGCCTTGTTACTAAAAGGCAGAGATAAAACTCAAATCTAAGAATATATAATCATATAGGAGGGCAAAATATATTTGAACATTTGGAAAATAACCCATTTGCAACCCAGGGACAGCTTACACTATCTAGGAGATGGGCCATCTATGTTATCTTCTAGTTCTTACCTGTTAGCTTAGTGAAGGCTTCCATGTCATCAATTGCTGTAGAAATGTGGTATTTTTTTCCTTGAGCACCTGTAATCTCTATGTAGGGGTCAGCTTTGAGGAGAGCATCTGTAATCCTAAAGTAGATTGTGTGAAAATTACTTAGAAAGCTTTGAATACTTTATGCCTCACTGAAGGTTATCTTTCTACTTTAGAAAAATAAAATCTTGAAGTACAATGTTCTAAAGATACCTGGTTCTTTTTTGTTGTTTAATAACTTTATTTGTTTATTCTTTTTTTTAGGTAGTGCTGAGGATCAAACCCAGGGCCTCACACGTGCTAGGCAAGTGCTCTACCACTGAGCCACAATCCCAGCCCCAACAACTGGTTCTTGATTAGGGTTTTGGATACCACTATCTTATTTAACTTTTCTAATAAAAAGACAGGCATAATCAGCGCCAATTTTACAGACACAGAAATAATGTAATTTTCCTTTAAGCAAGCCAGGAAGAAGCAGTGCCAGGCTTTGAACTCAGATCTCTCAGGCTCTCTTGATTAAAAAACAAACTTTTATTTAAGTATCAATCACACTAACATGATAAAGAATATGTAAAAAACAGAGGTAAAGATAAATTTCTATGGGTTAAAACACTCAATTTTTTTTGTGCTGGGGATTAGAACCAGGGCCTTGTACATGCTAGGCAAGCACTCTATCAACTGAACTATACCCCAGCCCCCAATTTTTGATTGGGGTCAGAACTCACGGGCGAGTCATGTACAGACTTTGCTATGGTTTTGAGTGAATCAGGGAAAAAGAGATGAAATTCCTATTGGTTTTACTATATGTATTAATTAAAAAAAAAATTTTTTTTTTTAGTTGTCAACGGACCTTTATTTTTATTTATTTATATGTGGTGCTGAGAATTGAACCCAGTGCCTCACATATGCTAGGCAAGTGCTCTACCACTGAGTCCCAACCCCAGCCCAATATGCTATTAATTTTGATAAATGTTTGACAGCACAAGGACAGACATCACTCTTACTTCTTCTTTTTTTTTTTTTTTTTTAAAGAGAAAGAGAGAAAGACTTTTTTTTTAATATTTATTTTTTAGTTTTGGCGGACACAACACCTTTATTTGTATGTGGTACTGAGGATCGAACCCAGTGCCGCACGCATGACAGGCGAGCATGCTACTGCCTGAGCCACATCCCCAGCCCCCACTCTTACTTCTTAAAATTAACTTTTGTTATTAATCTCACAATAATGTCAGTTGTTCATGTCCTGCTTCCTATTACCTTGGTGACTAAACCTCGTGTGTAAATTAATGGGGCAGAGGTCCAATGCAGCACTGCCTCTTCATGTCTAGCCTGGGCCAGCTCTACTTTCCTTCCTCCATCTACACCCCATACACATTTTTCTACTCTTCCTCCAACTAAGTTTACGCTAGATTTTGTTTGTTTAAGGAAATCACTTCAGATTTACTCACTTAAAAATTCACTTGATTTTATCTGGAAATCTCAACTGGCAAAGCACCATGGAGAATTTTGTAGGGAAGTAACAATTAAATTTCTTACATTGTATCAATGATGTTGCTAACTTTGTGTTGATAGGCTTTGTGGTGTAACCGATTCCGTGTGTGGAACATATCATATAGATTCCCAGCCTCCTGCAGGAAAACACAAAACAAATATTAGTGTAGAATCAGATTATGTTAATCTTGTTAGTAGGTAAGTATATAAGACAGGGAAATAGGATGATGCTAGACAAGAACATGTGTGCAGCTATTTCATCAAAATCCCCGAGTCCAGTTAAAAAAAAGGGGGGGGGGGGGAAAAAAGCAGATGCAGTGGTGCACATCTGTAGTCTCAGCAAATTTGGAGGCTGAGGAAGGAGGACTGCAAGTTAAAAACCAGCCTCAGCAACTTAATAGACCCTGTCTCAAAATAAAAATAAAAAGGACTAGGGAATGGATGGATGTATGTAGCTCAGTGATAAAAATGTCCTTGGGTTCAACCCCCAGTATCAAAAGCTATTTATTGGTATGTAATTTTCATTCATTTTTAAAAAATTTTTGCTTTTAGTTGTAAAGTGAATCCAATACCTTTATTTTATTTTTTATGTGAAGCTGAGGATCGAACACAGTGCCTCACATGTGCCAGGCGAGTGCTCTACCACTGAGCCACAGACCCAGCCCTGAAACTTTCATTCCTAGTAAATAAAAATATATTGTGAGTTCTAATTCTGTGACAGGTTCTGTTTTTTTATTTTGTTTTGGTACTGGGGATTCAACCCAGGGCCTCATCATGCTAAGCACATTCTTTACCACTAAGCTACACCTCCAGCCCACAGGTTGTTCTAGACATTTTAAGTATATGCTTTAATCCTAATAACTCTAGGAAATAGGTATTAATATTCTTAAGTTCTTCATTTTTTTTTGGGGGGGGGGTGGTACCAGGGATTGAACTCAGGGCACTCAGCCACTAAGCCACATCCCCAGCCCTATTTTGTATTTTATTTTGGGACAGGATCTCACTGAGTTGCTTAGCACCTTGCTGTTGCTGAGGCTGGCTTTGAACTCACGATCCTCCTGTCTCAGCCTCCCAAGCCACTGGGATAACAGATGTGTGCCACTGTGCCTGGCTAAGTTCTTAAAACCTTTCTGTCATACCATACCACTCTTTTGTTACAAGACTGTCATCTAGCAGGGACCCAATGGGGTTGAAATGCCAGTTTGACCACTTATTAATGTATTCCTTCTCAGTGCCTCAATTTGCTACTTGTTAAGTGATGGTATGGTTTAATATGGGTTGTTCCCACCAAAATTCATGCTAAAAGTATGCCCCAAGTAACAGTGTTATGAGGTAGTGGGACCTTTAAGAGGTAACTAGGTTACGGGGGCTCCACACTCATGAAAGGATGATTATTGTAGTTTCTGTGAGAGTGGGTTAGGAGAATGGTGATTACAAAGTGAGCCTGGCACTTCCTCTCACTCTCTTTAGCACATACCTGCCTGTCCTGGTTTTCTACCATGCCTGGAGCAGCACATAATCCTTAACAGAAACTGAAAAGATGCCAGTGCCATGTTCTTAGTCCGCCAGAACTGTGAACTAAATAAACCTCTTTTCTTTATAAAATAGCTAGCCTCATGTATTTTGTTATAGCAACAAAAAAGAGACTAAAGCCAGGCACAGTGGTGCACACCTGCAATCCCACTTGGGAGCCTGAGGCAAGAAGATCAAAAGTTCAAAGTCAGCCTCTGCAATTTAGCGAGGCCCTAAGCAATATAGTGTGACCCTGTCTCAAATTAAAAAATGAAAAAGACTGGGGTTGTGACTCGTGGTTAAGCATCCCTGGTTTAATCCTCAGTACCAAAAAATAAATAAAGAAAAGAAAGAAGAGACTAAAACAAATGGGATAATAATAACATCTTTCTCTTAGGCTTCTTAAGGACTGAGCTGATCATCTAAAGCACTTGAAACAGTGCTTTAAGCCAACACAGGTACATCAAGTGCTGAAATTAACTTTATCATTATTATCTACCAATTATTTTTTTAAAATATTTATTCTTTAGTTGTAGGTGGACACAATACCTTTATTTAATTTTTATATGGTGCTGGGGATCGAACTCAGTGCCTCAACATGCTAGGCGAGCGCTTTTCCTCTGAGCCACAAACCCAGCCCCGTCTAACAATTATTTTAAAAGTAAAAAGAGCCTCTGGGTATTTGCAAATGTTAAACATTTAGTAAAGAGATTGATGGTTTACCAATTATTCCAAATTGTTGAGTAGTTATTTTTAGATTTCAGACCAGGAACTACATTTTTCTTGTTTCCCGGGTCATAGCTTACCTTATCTCTAATACAAATACACTTCTCGTTACCTTCTTCACAGACACGAGCAAACATAATAAAGCGGTTGTAATCAAAATTATTTGGGATTCCAAGATGATGGCAGTCCCTAGAAAGATTCCAAAGCAAAGAGATGAAATTTTTCAACTAAGAAACTACTTTAAATAAATACTAATGCTAAATCTGCAAAAAGACTTTAACCAATTTTTCTAAAGTATTCAGTGCATACCTGGCAAAATAATCCCATTTATCCACATCAATGCCATTTCTTTTATTAGACACTATCTCATAAAGAAAGCTTTTCTCTTTAGGACGTCCTTTATATGGCCACTGGAAGAAAAGAAAAATTTTAGATTGGCAACAAATCTATTTATAAAACAAAGCAATTGTATTAATTTGCAAATTATAAATAGATATTGATTGAGAATAATAGATAAGTTAGAAGGTTCTACTCTTTTTTCCTTCCACTAGTTTCTTATACAAGTAGAAAAGGAAAAGAAATGCTAAGGCATATATCCTATTAATACTAAAACTTCAGGCTGGGGATGTAGTTCAGTGGTAGAAAGTGTGCTTATCATATGTGAAGACCTGGGTTCAATCCCCAACACTACACACACACACACACGCACACACACACACACACACTATGTATATATTATAGTCTATGAACATGATATATATCTATAAATATGATATCTATCTACATATACACATATATTACATATAAATGAAATGCTAAGACTATTGAAAGGGTTTTAACATCATTATATTTTCTAAAACCAGCAACTTTCTTATTTTCTTTGTTTAAAAGCTTTTTAAAAATATAACATTTAGGTTGGGGATGTGGCTCAGTGGTAGAGCGCTTGCCTAGAGTGCATGAGAGCCTGGGTTCAACCTCTGGAACCTCCCCCCTCACCAAAAAAAAAAAAAAAAAAAGATTTAATTATGAGCTAGAAATAATATTCCTTAGATAATAATGCTCAAATTTATTATTTAAAATAGCATTATTTGGGGCTGGGGTTGCAGCTCAGTGGTAGAGCACTTGCCTAGCATGTACAAGGCACTGGGTTCAATACCCAGCAGTAAATAAAAAATAAATAAACAAAATAAAATTATTTTAAAAATAGCAGTATTTTTCAAAGTAGTTATAATCTAGACTAAATGATATGTCTGTTCAAAGCATTTTTGGAGCTCCATTTTTTTTTGGGGGGGGGGCTAAGATATTTGCTGAAAAGTTCAATTCCTTCAAGTAGATTTGCATGTACTTTGAGGTTAAAAAAAAAAAAACCTAAAAAATCTTAATTATCTCCTTATTTTCCAACTTCTTTTTTATTAGGAAAAATACAAAAGATCAAAGAGGAAACCAAACTGATTTTCCCCTGAATCAGTTCAACTTTTTTCTAGGTCTTTGTATACTTTCTAGGTCTTTATATACTTAATATTTTAAAATATGGTACACAGGCACACTTTTATATTTCCAAACAAAGTTACTTAAGGTTTCTATATAAAATATTGCATATACATTCATTAAAAATGAATGTATAGCCAGGCATGGTGGTGCATGCCTATAATACCAGCAGCTTGGGAGGCTGAGGCAGGAGGATCATGAGTTCAAAGCCACCCTCAGCATAAGCAAGGTGCTAAACAACTAAGTGAGACCTTGTCTCTGATAAAATATAAAATAGGGCTGGGGATGTGGCTTGTAGCTCAGTGGTCGAGTGCCCCTAAGTTCAATCCCTGGTACCAAAAATAAGGATGCCTATATATATATATGCATATGTATATATTTAAATTTAAATTGTATTGAATTTGTATGCAATATTTTATATAGAAACCTTAAGTAACTTTGTTTGGAAATATAAAAGTGTGCCTGTGTCACCATATTTAAAAATATTTAAGTATATAAAGACATAGAAAAAAGTTGAACTGGTTCAGGGGGAAATCAGTTTGGTTTCCTCTTTGATCTTTTGTATTTTTCCTAATAAAAAAGAAGTTGGAAAATAAGGAGAAAATTAAGATTTTTTAGGTTTTGTTTTTAACCTCAAAATACATGCAAATCTACTATTTTATTGAACTACAATTTTTTTATAAACCATGTTCATTATTTCATAAATATATTACAGATATTTTATGAGAACTCAGTTAAGAGATGGAAAACACACAAATGTCATTTTTTGTATTAAAGGGTAGAAATATGCAACATATTTTGCCATTTAGTTCTTCTACAATAGGCAAATGTGTAGCTCTGAAGGAATCAAGAATAGCCTTGATAAAAAGTACCAGTCAGTTCAAATCAAGTTGAATACAAACTTACCACAGAATCTTTTACTGGTGTTTCAAGTGGTCCTATAATTTGTTCCTTGATAAAGCAAATATCTTCCTCAGGGATAAGACCATACTGTTCCATGATAGGTCTGAGTCCATTAGAATTTACTAGATGCTCAAACATTTGAACTGAGCCCTGTTCATGCTAGAAAAAAATCAGGATAACATGGCTTGTTATAGACTCTAGCCAATTAGGGGCCCTAATTATACAAATTATTCTTGATTCCAGGTAATTCTAAGTTAAGATTCTACTGCATGTCAATAATGCAGTTTCCAACCATAGTCTTGCAGGTTTTATCAATATTGTAAATATTTTATAGAACTACAGAATTTTTATAAACCATGTTCATTATTTCATAAATATATTACAGATATTTTATGAGACATAATCATTTGTGATATGTTGAAGAATATTACCAAGTTTTACAGGAGAATCCTACTTTAAGGACGATCATAAAATTCAGTTCTGTTTTTCATCAGTATTGGAACAGGTGAAGTAAAAAGCTGTTAGTACTTCCATCTAGTGGTGAAAAAGAATAAGAGCAACCTCATGGGTAAAATTAAGCGTCTTAGATCTCTGAAGTCAAGATCTGGGTCCCCCTCAGTTGGCTCATGACTCTGCTCACTCATTCTTAATCAATGTAAAGAGCAAATGATTCCCTGGAGACATCTGCCCTATTTCACACCTTACAAGATAAAAACCAAAACCTGAATGAGCCCGTAACTTTGTGTGTGTGTGCCGGGGACTGACCCATAACTCTTCTTAAAATTAAATCAAGACATATATTAATTACAAAAGGAGGGAAACCTGTAACTGTACAGTAGAAAAATGTGGCGGACACTGCTTTACCCAAGTTAAGTTAGTATCACTAGTAAAATAGATTTTATGTGCCTCCTGAAGTGACACATTAAGAAGAATATATTGCTTCTCTGGCATTCTGCCAGAAATACATAGCCTGACTACATGAAAACAGACTAAATGAAAGTTAAATTGACATTCCACAAAAAAGCTCACCTGCCCTTAAGAAAATGACAAAGTCATGAAAGATAAATACTAAAGAATTAGCCAAAGCATGGTGGTGCATGGCTGTGGTAATCCCAGCAGCTTCAGAGGCTGAGGTAGGAGGATCTAGAGTTCAAAGCCAGCCTTAGCAATTTGGCAAAGCCCTAAGGAACTTGGCAAGACCTTGTCTCAAAATACAAAAAAAGGAATGGGAATATGGCTTAATGGTAAAGCGTCCCTGGGTTCAATCCCCAGTACCATTAAAAAAAAAAAAAAAAATCCTGTTGAACTGTTCAAGATTCAAAGAAATTAAAGAGAAATGGCAACTAAGTGCAAGATTATTTGGTGTTTTTTGGTGTTTTTTTTTTTTTTTTTGGCAGGGATTGAACCCAGGGGTGTGTCGGGAGCCATTCGTGGACTATGTGTGGACCAAACTGGCATGGAAGCCCACTGAATGGGAAAATCTGGTATTTGGTAACTTCCAGCGGCAATCCTGCTGGTAAGATCGCTCAGATACATGAGTCCTATTCAGCTCTGCCAGGTTCCACGTAGCACCAGAGATGGGGTGACCTGCTGTGGCTACACAGCCTCTCAGAGATGGGTGTAGCCTGCCAAGATGCCAATCAACCTCTTGACTGCAAGACATGATGAAGCAAGACTCCCCCCAGAAACCTTTTCCCTTACTTTGATGTACCCCCTTAAATAAATCATCAGAGCCATTTTCTAATTGTTCAGTTCTAGCTCCTGTGTGGGCTGGACTTATCAGACACTCTGCTTTTAAAACCTATTATTTGACTCTGCCCCTTATTTCTTCACTAACTATTTCAGACTATATTCTCAGATGGCTTATCCTCTCCTGAGCAGGAAAAATTACCCTGGCAAAGCGCTGGCTGCCTCTTGATAGGGGTGTTTAATTGCTGAGTCACATCCCCAGTCCTTTTTATTTTTTATCTAGAGACAGAGTCTCACTAGGTTGTTTACAGTCCTGCTAAATTGCTGAGGCTGGGTTTGAACCTGTGCTCCGTTGCTGGGATTACAGGTGTGTGCCAAATGCAAAATTATTCTGTATCCTGAACAAAGAAAAAAATTTCCCCTTTATCTATATGCATAATTGGTGAAATATGAAGGTAAATCTATAAATCAGATGATATTTCTACATTAATACTAATTTCCTGACTTTGGATAACTGTGCCAAGGTTATATTCTTGCTTTTAGAAATGCCCACTGAAGTACTTGGGAGTGAAAAGTTATGTCCAGGGCTGGAGGTTGTAGCTCAGGCAGAGTTTACTTGGCATGCACAGGCACTGGGTTGGATCCTCAGTACTGCAAAAACACAAAAGAGCTGGGACTGGTGGCATATGCCTGTAATTCCAGCAGCTCAGGAGGATCACAAGTTCAAAGCCAGCCTGAGCAATTTAGCAAGGCCCTAAGCAACTCAGTGAGACCCTGTCTTGAAATAAAATACTAAAAAGGGTTGGGGATGTGACTCAGTGATTAAGTACCCCTGAGTTCAATCCCCAGTACCAAAAACAAAACAAACAAACAAAAAACCCCAAAAACGATGGGCTAGGATTGTGGCTTGGGCTGGGATTGTGGCTCAGGGGTAGAACGGTCGCCTAGAACGGGTGGGACCCGGGTTCGATCCTCAGCACCACATAAAAATAAAGGCATTGTGTTGAGTCTATCTACACCTAAAAAATAAATATTAAAAAAAAAAAAAACAACCCACAAAACAACAAGGTATGTCTAGCCAGATATGGTGGTGTGTGCCTGAAGTTCCATCTACTTGGGAGGTTGTGGCAAGAGGATCACTTAAGCCTCAGAATTTCAGACGAGCTTGGGCAATAGAACAGTGAGGCCCTCTCTTTAAAATAAAAACAAAACAAAACAAAGCAAAAAAACAAGTATGTCTACAACTTATTTTCAAATGATTCAGAAAAGCATTTGTGTACAAAAGATAGCATGTTAAAAAATACAGCAAAACATTAACATTTGGCAAATCTCAGAAAACATTTCAAGTTTTCTGTGTAAAATTATGTAAAAATTAAATGTTAAAAAAAAATTCAATGTGTGGCTGGGGTTATGGCTCAGCAGTAGAGCGCTTGCCTATCATGTGCGGGGCACTGGGTTTGATTCTCGACACCATATAAAAATAAAATAAAGGTATTGTGTCCAACTACAACTAAAACAGAATATTAAAAAAAAATTCAATCAGGAGGCTGGGGTTGTCACTCAGTGGGAGAGTGCTTGCTTAGCACGTGTGAGGCAGTGGGTTCGATCCTTAGCACCTCATAAAGATAAACAAATAAATAAAGGCATGCTGTCCATCCACAACTAAATTTTTTTTAAAAAATTCAATCAGTAATTATAAAAGCATTTCCCCTAAAATCAGTAATAAAAAATAGTTGTCTAGGTCTGGGCTGTAGCTCAGTGGTAAAACACTTGCCTAGCACGTGTTAGGTACTGGGTTCGATCCTCAGCACCACATAAAAATAAATAAATAAAATAAAGGCATTGTATCCATCTACAACTAAAAAAATGTTTAAAAATATATATAATTGGGGCTGGGGATGTGGCTCAAGCACTAGCACGCTTGCCTGGCATGCGCAGGACGCTGGGTTCAAACCTCAGCACCACATAAAAATAAAGATGTTGTTCCCACCGAAAACTAAAAAATAAATATTAAAAAAAATTCTCTCTTTAAAAAAAAAAAAAATATATATATATATATATACATATATATAGTTGTCCAATATTATGTCTTCTATTTAATATTTTATTGGAAGTCTAAGAAGAATGGTAAAGGAATAAATAAAGCAATTATCCATATTAAATGGAAAAAATTAGATTTCTACTATTTGTTAACTAATATAATGAGCAGTAGAATGTAAACCAATAACACAGCAGGGTCCTGGGGTTTCTTTAAATTGTCTTTAAGACTAATGAGTAATTGAGTAACTTGTGGGTCAGGATACGAAGGATGTCAGGTGTGGTGGCACACACTTATAATCCCAGTGACTCAGGAAGCTGAGGCAGGAGAATTACAAGCTCAAAGCCAAGTGCAGCAACTTAGTGAGAATCTGTCTCAAAGTAAAAAATAAAAAAGGCTGGGAATGTGGCTCAGTGGTTAAAAGCCCCTGGGTTAAAACTCTGGTACCAAAGGTGGGGCAGAGAAAGAGAAAGGAAAACAACAGGTGTGCTAACCCTAAGAATAAACAGGTGGAAACAAAGGGAACCAATTAATAAATACCTCAAGAGAAAGATCCATGGGGCTAACTCCTGTTAGGGAGTACTGGGATCATTATATACACTTAGGATTTATGGCCATAGGCTTCTCAGTGTATCAGAAGAGAAATTTCTTTAGTAGGGCAGGCCTAGGAAGATGAAATTTGTCCTGACACTGACCACATCACTTGCATTAACATAGGGCTGACTCATAGATGAAGCACCTGCTAAATGAGATGGTCATCATGACAACTCCAGAAAGAACCAACTAAGGTTAAAAAAAAAAAAAAAAAAAAAACCCACCCAAGGTGGAGGAGGAGTCATACACGGGATTAGTGAAGACTGCAGAAGGTGGACCCAGCTCCTTTGGCAAACATAAATCAGTAATAAATTTGGAAGTAGCATCAAGTTTCCTTGTCATTCTCTGCTCTGAGACGACTGGCTCTCCTTTCTTTTCCTTTAATAATTTTTTAGCTGTAAATGGACTTTATTTTTATTTATTTATATGCGGTGCTGAGAATAGAACACAGTGCCCTTCACACATACCAGGCAAGTGCTCTACCACTGAGCCACAACCAGGCCCTCCTTTCTTGAGAGTGTATTTTGCTTGACTTTTTGTGTCTGCCTTGAAATGTTCTCTTATTAGGACACAAGAACCAAGGTTAGGAGTTTTGGCTCCCCATTCACCTATGACACCATTACATACATAATTAATTCTATATAAGCTAATAAGTCTTAAATGGGGAAGGCAAATACAAAGAAAAGGACTTAGTAATGGCTGACCCACCGTGCTGGAAAAAACAACCAAACTCTGGACAAGTAACTCCCTGAAGGTCTGGGTAATGACCAAAAGCAAGCAGATGTTAGTGGAGAGTCAACACTCGGATGAAAAAGACACTAGGCAATATTTCAATATTATGCTTTTATCATGAGGGCATGCCCCAAGGCAGCAAAACTAGTGAGAAACTATCCATTTTACTGGCTTGAAGAACCAGAGGACTTCATAAAAATTGAAAACTTGTTTTCAAAAGGCACCATTAAAAAATAAATTGATATGGGGATGGCTGTGGCTCAGTGGCAGAGCACTTGCCTAGCATGTGTGAGGCACTGGGTGCGATCCCCCACACCACATAAAAATAAACAAATAAAATAAAGGTATTGTGTCCATCTACGACTAAAAAAAATTAATAAATAAATAAATTGACAAGCCAGACATTAGGAAAAATTCACAATATATATATCTAATAGCACATATTAAAAAAAATTCCTGCTGTGGAGGCATATGCCTATAATCCCAACAACTTCGGAGGCTGAGGCAGGAGGAAAGTTCAAGGCCAGCCTAAGCAATTTAGTGAGGCCCTAAGCAACTCAGAGAGTCCTTATTTCAAAATAAAAAATAAAATAGACTGGGGATGTGGCTTAGTGGTCAAGTGTCCCTGAGTTCAATCCCTAGTACCAAAAAAATAAAAATAAAAAATTCCTACAAATCAATAATAAAAGGTAAACAATAAAATTACTTTCTTTCCTCTCTCTCCCCTTTTTTTTTTTTTTTTGCAAGCTCAGAATCTTACCCATGTTGGCAAACAATCTGCCAATGAGTCATACTTCCCAGCACTCAAATCAAAATTTTTAAATGGGTAAAATACTGAATTAACTCTTCAAAAAAAAAAGAGAAAAAGATGTAGAATAACAAAGTGCCAAATACAAGTTACAGGTAATGGTATTCAACATATATTAGAAAATGCAAATTAAACCAGTAAGCTACCATTTGACATTCAGAAAGTCTAATCTGAAACATTAAATGTTGGGGTAGGGGTTGGGGTATAGCCAAGTGCTAGAATGCATGCCAAGCATGTACATGGCCCTAGATTCCATATGCAGCACCATAAAATAAATAAATAAAACAAAAAAATGAAAAGTTAGTGAGGCTGAAAAACAACTGCAACTTTCACACATTGCTGATGGGAATGTACAACCAGGTTGGAAAACTTTGGTAGTTTCTTATAAAGTTAAACATGCAACTCCTATTTGGACCAGTTTCTACTCGTAAGTATTCACTTAAGAGAAATGAAAATGTATGTCCACAAAATTCTTGTACAATAACATGCACAATAATCTTATATGTAATAGCCAAAACCTACAAACAATCCAAATTCCATCAAAAGGAGAAAGCAGAAACAAATTGTGACTTGTTCATATACTGGGATAACGACTCAGCAATAAAGAGATCAACTACTGATCTCAAAAACCATTTTTTAAAAAAATTTTTTAGTTGTAGGACTGGGGATGAGGCTCAAGCGGTAATGCGCTCGCCTGGCATGCGTGGGGTGCTGGGTTCGATCCTCAGCACCACATAAAATAAAGATGTTGTGTCCACTGAAAAATAAATATTAAAAAAAAATTTTTTTTAGTTGCAGATGGACACATGCCTTTATTTTGTTTATTTATTTTTATGTGGTGCTGAGGATTAAACCCAGTGCCTCTCACATGCTAGGCAAGTGCTCTACCGCTGAGCCACAACCCCAGCCCCTCAAAACCATTTTGTTCAATAAATAAGACAAAAAAGAGTACCTACTATCTGATTCTACTTATATCAAATCTAAGAACAGACAAAACTAATCTGTTTATGAACATCAGAAGATGACAATGGGGAAAGAAGTGAGAATTGATTTTAAAAAGGAACAAAGGAAAAGCTAAGAGTAGAGTATGTGCTTAGCATGTGTAAGGCCCTAGGTTCAATCTCCAGCACCACCACTAAAAAAAAAAACACTAGGGTGGGAGAGTAAGAAATTTTCCTAAAAAATGAAAAAGTATACACTGGTCAAAAATCACTTAAAATCTATACATATTATTATATGTGAATTATGCTTCAAAGAGAGAAAGAAAAAAAGAGAAGAAAAAAGTGGTTGACATGTAATAAGCTTTCAATTTATAACAATATCCTTATTTACTCCAGGTTCCAGAAATATAGTATAATAGGACCTGTGGGGGCCAACCTAACTTGACTGCTCAAAAACTGATTCCAGTAGCTCAGTGGCAGAGCACTACTTGCCTAGCACGTATGAGGCATTGACTTTGATCCTTTGATCCTCAGCACTTCATAAAAATAAACAGATAAAATAAAAGTATTCTGTCCATTAAAAGAAAAAAAAAAGATTCCAAAAATATACATCAGCCTCCAGCAAATGCCTAATTATAAAATGGTTCATTTAAAGTATTTTTTGAAACTTGTTGGTAGCATTACTTTAGGGTCATACAAAATGAACAAAAAATGGAGTTAGCCTATTTTGTTTTATAGTAGGTCAACAGAATAGAAAGAACATCAAACTGACAACTAGGAAACCTGGTTTTTCCAGTGTTGGCTCCACCTTTCACTCATAATGTTGTGAATTTTGGCACATGAATAGGACTCTAAGAGCCTCAAGTTTCTTCACTGGGTAAAAAAGGAAGATAACAATTCCTTCTTTGCCGACTAAGAACCAAGAGAGCACGTACAAACGTGCATGGAAACACCCTTAAAACTAGAGTGAGGAAGGATATTACAACCAAGCAGGAAAAACCAAGCAGAGAATCTCGCTAAACAGCCCATTTAAACAGTCTTGGTATCAACTACTGACTATATGAATACATACCGTCCATTTCACTCCTGGGCGAGCAAGTGGAATAAATCTCCCATCAAACATATGAGAAAATGGCCCATGACCTTAAAAACAAAAGCAGCCTTAGAACAAGAAAAATGTTTGTAAATTGGTAAAAAGTGAATTCTTTTAAAAATTGTTTCAGTTTAACTTAAGTATCAACAGACACTAATAATCTATAAATAAAATGTTCTAAAACAACAGAATAAGAAGCAAAAATTAGGGGCTGGGGTTGGGGCTCAGCGGTAGAGTGCTTGCCTCACACATGTGAGGCCCTGGGTTCAATCTTCAGCACTACATTAAAAATAAATAAATAAGGGCTGGGGATGTGGCTAAAGCGGTAGTGTGCTCGCCTGGCATGCGTGCGGCCTGGGTTCGATCCTCAGCACCACATACAAACAAAGATGTTGTGTTGTGTCTGCCGAAAACTAAAAAATAAAATATTAAAATTCTCTCTCTCTTAAAAAAAAAAAATAAGAGAGTTGAAGACATGTTAAAAAAAAAAAAGAATTTGTCAGTTAATGTAGCATAATGAACAAATGATATAAAAAAAATAAGTAAAATAAAGGTATTGTGTCCAACTACAACTAAAAAATAGATATCAAAAAAAAAAAGGAAGCAAAAACTAGCCGGGCGCAGTGGCACAGGGCTGTAATCCTGGCGGCTCCGGAGGCTGAGACAGGAGGATTGAAAGTTCAAAGCCAGCCTCAGCAATTTTCAAGGCACTAAGCAACTCAGTGAGACCCTGTCTTGAAATAAAATTCAAAATAGGGCTGGGGATGTGGCTCAGTGGTCGAGTGCCTCTGAGTTCAATTCCCAGTACCCATCCCTTCCCCCCAAATAGCAGCAAAAACAACATAAGAAAGTAAACTCTCCACAGAGAGGTTTCTAGTTGCCAGAGCTTACATAAATCTGATGAAAAGATGATTATGTGTTACCTAAAAGGAATGATGAAGGCTTATATTATTTTTTCAATAAAATACAAGTTTATTTATTTAGGGCTGGGGATGTTAGCTCAGTGGCAGAGGGCATTCTCTGCTTGAATGGGTTCCATCTCTGGCACCAAAAAAGAAAAAGAAAAAGAAAAAAAAAATTTAATTGGCATGCAAATCAATGCAAATCATGGGTATTTTACAAGCAAGTTTTTTGTGTATGAAATGACAAACTGAAAGTCATATTCCTTTTTTCTTTGGTAATGTAACAATCCTAAAAGTATATTATTTTGAAATATCTGATTTACAGAAAATTTGAAAATTCAAAGATGTTTTCCTCTAAACCATCTCAAGTATAATTTTTCTATTACCTTAAATATATTAAATATATTAGTATGTACTTTACACATATAAGGACATTCTTATAGAATAAAAGCATCAAAAAAAGGAAATTAATAACGATGTATTATTACCACCTAAATATCATACCCTATTCAAGTTTTGCCAGGTTCTCCAATAATGTCCTAAAAGGAATGTTAATTCCAAAATTTTTGGAATCTTCAGATTGCGTATTTATAGATTAAGAAAGTAGTTTTAAGGCAATCCAAGGGGTGCCACAGAAAAAAATATTAGAATTTTATTACTCTCAAAGTTTAAAACATCTATCTTCATGTAAATTGTATAATATATATTTTACAACAAACATACAAATACTGGGGCTGTATTTTGGCATTTTTACCGGTGATATGCATGTCATAAGTAGAGACCACTAGTTTCTTACTCATAAGTGTGAATGTGTTTTGTTTTGTTTTGCAGTGCTGCAGATCAAATCCAGGGCCTTATAAAAGCTAGACAATTATACTACTGAGCTACATCATGGGTCTTCAAATTATTAAATGTTGTGAAACTTTAAAAACACTTACGGAGTTGGGGTGTAACTCAGTGGCAGAGAACTTGCTTATTATGTGCAAGGCCCTGGGTTCAGTCCCCAGCATTGCCTAAAAAAAAATTGAAACTTTGACATTGTTCGAATTTTTTCAGAAATGAGTTTTTTGGCTGCAGAGGGAGATAACCTAACCCAGTCCTAAGCCATTGCATGTCACAGTCTACACAAAAAGACTCATTTAGTACCGGGCTCAGGCTCCTGGGGACTGGCAAAGTTTTCATATTGATTGTCTCTAAATATCAAGAGTCCGGGCCCCCCAGCTCAAATGTAGAGCGCTCATCTAGCATGCACGAGGCACTGGGTTTGATCTTTAGCACCACATAAAAAAATAAAATAAAAATATTGTTTTCACATATAACTAAAAAATAAATATTAAAAAAAAATATCCAGAATCCATTGAATTTTATCATCTCAGGGGCTGAGAGTATAGCTTAGTGGTAGAGTCTGTGCTTATCATGTATAAAAGCCCTGGATTCAATCCCTAGCACCAAAAACTAAAAAATAAAAAAAATAAAAATATAGTAAGGAGACAGAGTGCTCTAGCCCCTTTAAATATCTGATGACTGAAACACAGCACACCCAAACTCTCCTGTGATTAAAAATGTCAGGGACAAGGCTGGGGTTGTAGCTCAGTGGTAGAGTGCTTGCCTAGTACATGTAAGGCACTAGGTTCAATCTTCAGCAACACATAAAAATAAATAAATAAAATAAAGATATGTGTCCATCTACAACTAAAAAATAAATAAAAATAAAAATAAATAAATAAAAGTGTCAGGGACAGATCCTTTTCTCTTTTCTTTGTTAAAGGAAAAGAATGATATTCTTCTACTTGGATTTAAGTGGCCCAAAAATCTAATCTGAATCAGGGAACAAAAGGAGATCTCCAAATCTGTTTTAGGTATTGAAGGAATAAACTTGACAAAGTAACTAAAGAGAAAAAAAAAAAAAAGTGCTGGGAATGTGGCTCAGTGGTTAAGTATCCCTGGGTTCAATACTGGGTACAAAAAAAAGAAAGCCCTTTCATGTAACGTGTAGCAAAGATATTTTACACAGGAAACTCATTAAAGACTACAAGAAAATAGAAGAGCAATGTTCTGCACTTACATGTCCTTCCAGAAAGAAGCAAAATTCCATTTTATATTAGTGTCAACTGAAGAGCCAAAACAAAACTTCCACATTTCTCTTGGTTAGTCTGATTTCTAAGTCACACAGAGAGGTGACCTATGTTATAATTCTACATAATAACTTTGGCTGTCTGTATTGCTTACCGAGATCATGACAAAGCCCAGCAATCTGAACACAGAGTACATCTCGATTACTGATCTGCAGCTCTGGCTGTTTTTCACGCAGTGAGCGGACCAGACATCCTCCTAAGTACGCCACCCTGTTGAGTAAAAACCAAGAGCCTTTATTTTGTTTGAAAGATGAACAACACTTCTGGAACTCAAGAGCTTCAATACATTTCCTGAACTAATATGTATTTGGGTAACTTTACAGAACATAGTCGATTTTAGAATACGCACAAACAAGAATCTCAAAGCAGGCCCTCTGCCTCAACATCATTAATCATGAGGAAAATGCACAGCAAAACCATAATGAGATACCATTCTTACCACAGCTGTTAGGATGGCTACTATCATAAAGATAGAAAATAACAAGTTTTGGCTATGTGAAGAAATTGGGAAACTTTGGACAAGCTTATGTGAATGCATAACGGTGTACTTACTATGGAAAACAGTACAGTGGGGCTGGGATTGTGGCTCTGAGGTAGAGCGCTCGCCTAGCATGCATGGGGCACTGGGTTCGATCCTCAGCACCACATAAATATAAAATAAAGACATTGTGTCCACCTATAACTAAAAAAATTATATATATATATATATATATATATATATATATATATAAAATAAAGAAAACAGTATGGTATTGCCTCAAAAAATACAGAAATAAAAAATACAATTGTCATATGATCTAGTAATTCTACTCTGGGTATATATCCCAAAGAAGTGAGAGTAGTGTCTTAAAGAGATGTTTGCACACCCACATTCACAGGAGTACTATATTCACAATAGCCAAAAGATGGAAGCAACCCAAGTGTCCATCAAGGAATGAATGGATAAACAAACAATGGAATATTATTCAGCCTTAAAAAGGAAGGCAGCGTGTTCCTATAGTCCTAGTACTTGGGAAGTTGAAGCACGAGGATCTGTTGAGAACATGAGTTTGAGATCAACTCGGACAACATAGCAAGATTCCATCAAAAAAAAAAGAAAAAGAACACAAGGGCTGGGGCTCAGTGGTAGAGTGCTTGCCTCGAATGTGTGAGGCACTGGGTTCGGTCCTCAGCACCACATAAAAATAAATAAATAAAGTTATTAAAAATATATATATTATAAAAAAAGCAAAACAACAACAAAAAAGAAATCTGACACATACTATGATATGGATAAGCCTTAAGGACATAATGTTAAGTGAATAAAGCCACTCACAAGAACAGAAATATTATATGATTTCACTAAGATGATATACCTAGAGTAGTCAAATTCATAGACAGAAAGCACAATAGTTACCAGAGGCTGGGAAACAAAAGGGAGTAAAGGGGAATTATTGTTTATTGGCAAATAGTTTGTTTTGCAAGATAAACAGTCTGGCAATCGATTGCACAAAAATGTGAAAGTACTTAACTTTACTGAAGTGCACACTTAAAAATGACTACTGTGGGGCTGGGGCTATGGCTCAGTGGTAGCGCACTTCCCTTTATATGTGAGGCACTGTGTTCGATTCTCAGCACCACATATAACCAACTGAGCTGTATCCCCAGCCCTATTTTATACATTTTTTAAAAAGGCAGTAATCTCTGGCTTTGAATGTTTACCACACAGATTGAAGATTAGATGTTTAACAGGGCTGAGGATGTGGCTCAGCAGTTCATTGTTTGTCTAGCATGTTTGAGGCTATGGGTTTGATCTCCGGCACCCCCCCCCCCCCCACACACAGTGCTTAACAAATATTAAATGTACTTTTACTACTTCCCTCTAAAAGCAATTTCTAGAAGAATACAATCTTTTCTTTCTCCTGAACTTTGAGCTTCAGGAGGAGCAAAATAATTTCTATCTTGTTTGTGATTTGTTGAAAATTGATTATAAATACATGTGTTCTGATTAATTAAAAATGCTATGGAATAGACAGACATACAGAGTAATACACTGTGAGTATAGCATGAATCTGGACAACTGTCCATTTTTTCTCTCCCCAAGTCCTTTTGGCTGTACATAATGGAAAAGCAGACCAAAGATTCAACTTCACTGTACATAACACAGGGGGCACCTTCTGCAAACTTACAAATGTTTTTCTGACTTACAAATTTCCTGATAAGTAAGAAAATTATCTAGTTTCAAAGAGTAAATTTATACAAGACTAAGTAGGGACTAAAGGAAAATAATCAAGTTTACAGAGTTAAAAAAAAAAAAAAGTAAAACCCATTAATACATAATTAGTTCTACTGGAAACCAACCTTATTAACTTTTAAACAGTATTTAAATACAAACATTTAATCCAACACACCTATCAATAAACACTTTCATTACCTTTTCAGGAAGGATATGAGACAGCTTAACCATACACAAAATAAACAAATTATAGCAGGGTAAATCAAAAGTCTCAATTTTATCTTCAATAAAATAAGGATATTACTACCATTTTGTAAAATTATTTATTCTCTAAGAGATGAGACAGAGGAGGTAATTAAAAGCTGCAAGTTCCCCACCTTCTTTCCCTTCTTACCCTAGACTATGCTCAAATCGATTATGTGAAGCTCCTGGAAAAACATAGTAACCGCCTCCCAACTGTTTGATGTATCGAAGACGCTGAAACTGAGGAGTGTCAATGATCCGAATAAGAAGAGGGTGGAACTCAATGTGGCCATGGACAGGATCATTGATCACCTGGAAAATTATGTTTAAATTAGTAACATAATTAGCAACATAACTCCATCTAAAATTTTTGTGTAGCCTTTCCTAACTATAGTACAAAGAGTTATTTAACTGTTCAAGCAAGAATAATATTAAAGAGCTAGGTACACTGGCACATGCCTGTAATCCCAGCAGCTCGTGAGGGCTGAGGATATGGTTCAGTGGTCGAGTGCCCCCGAGTTCAATCCCTAGTAAACACGCCCCCACCCCAAAACCCCACAAGAATAATATTAAAGAAAATGACAATATATTATATTACCTTAGATACCAGACAGATCTAGTATATTAGATTTGGGTATACTTTACTTTTTCCTAATGGATTCTAACAATGGAAAGATAGAATTTTCATTTTTGGATTAGGTATGTAATTTCAACTAAACATATTCAATTAAACATACTCACTGGACTGGAGGTGTAGCTCAGTGGTAAAGTACTTGTCTAACACGTACAAGACCCTGAGTTTGATCCTAAGCACCACAAAAACAACTCCACACATCTAACATACTCATCTAGATATAAACATATTCATTCAGATCATGTGAACCATGCTGCTATGGCCACTGTGACTACATTTTTTTCTGACTGTACCTACATCACTAAAATCCTTAGAAAGAAATATAAATAGAAAAAAAAAAAAAGAAAAAGATAGACAGGAAAACAATTATTCATTTCTCTAAGCTAAAACAGGGGCTTTAAATACAGGAAAAGACTTACTCCTACATGCATCTTTAAATAAAGATAGAATTCAGTGGGCATATAGTTCAGTGGTAGAATGCTTGCCTATTATATGAGACCAAAGGATTGATCCCCAGCACTGCAAAAAACAAACAAACAAACAAAAAAAAAAACAACTTTATCTGTCCATAATAACTGCCTCCGACACACCTTTTTTGTGTGTGCTGGGGATTGGACCCAGGGCTTTACACATGCAAAAACCACTGAACTGCACTCTCAGCTAAATAACTGCTTTCAAAAACAAGTCTATAGAATAAATAATCTGAAAAGCTATCTAAGTCATGACCTTCAAACTATTTCATAAAGTTTCTTAAAAGGGCACAGAGGGCTGGGCATGATGGTGCATTGGGAGGTTAAGACAAGAGGATCGAGAGTTCAAAGCCAGCCACAGCAAAAGCAAGGCGCTAAACAACTCAGTGAGATCCTATCTCTAAATAAAATACAAAATAGGGCTGAGGATGTGGCACAGTGGTTGAGTGCTCCTGAGTTCAATCCCCAGTAACCCTCTGCCCCGCAAAAAAGTGCACAGAAGATCTGAGGGTATAGCTCAATGATAGACTGAGTACTTAGATGTGTAAGGACCTGGGTTTGATCTCTAGCACCAAAAGGGAAAAAAAAAATAGTATATGGAGTTCTAGGAGATGAAGAACTCTAGCTGTCTTGTTTAACTAATACACACACTATATTGCCTGACAGTCACTAGAAACTCAAACATGCTTTGAACAACTGCTGCCGAGCTGTTACTGAAATGTAATATATGTTAACATGCTGAATTATTACAGTTAAAGAGTACCATGCCAGGTTGGGGAAGTAGGTCAGAGGTAGAGTACTTTGCATAAATGAGGCTGTGGTTTCCATCCCTGACATCTCTGTCTCTCACATGTACATGTACACACACAGATGGTAAACTATGTTAATTAATAACAGAAATATATGGAAATATTAATTACAAAAACTCAATGCTGTATTTAAAAAAAAAAAAAAAGCTTAAAGAGATCACCAGGCTCCACATTTGAATATACTACTGATAAGAAATTAATTTCCTGTAAAATTAGCTCAAGTCAATTTGGGTGCTGCCAGCTTCAATCAAGGACTATTATTTCCAACTTTATGAGACTGGTTGATGTTTGTTGAGAAACCATAATCAATAAATATTTGAAAATCACATACTGGTCTATTCTTTCCTCCTAAACCAAGATCAATGTATCCACTATAAATGAGAATCTATTTATTCTTAAAGATTATAAAAGAAAAATTTTATAATCTATTTTTTTTTTAAACATTTATTTCTTTTTTAGTTCTCGGCAGACACAACATCTTTGTTTGTATGTGGTGCTGAGGATCGAACCCGGGCCGCACGCATGCCAGGAGAGCGCGCTACCGCTTGAGCCACATCCCCAGCCCCTATAATCTATTTTTAATTCACATAAAGGCCTAAAAGTCTTTACCATCAATTTTTCAGATTTAATAATCAGTCTTCAAATATTCATTTCACTCAACATTAAAACAAAATAAATTTAAGCTACTTACAAAAAATCAGTAAAAAGTATGTAACTTGGTTAATATACATATATTTTCATGTCAAAACGCATAGGGGAAAAAATGCATAGGGAATGCTTTTTCATGCTTTTATATATTTTTTGTTCCAGATAGGTTCTTTTGCTAAATTGCCAGACTGGCCTTGAATTTGTGATCTTCGGCTTCAAACCTCCTGAATAGCTAGAATTACAGGTATGCATCACTGTGTCCAGCTCCCACTCTTAATAATTATTATTTTAGCTGGGCGAAGTGGTTTATACCAATAATCAGCTACTCAAGAGATGAGGCAGGGTTGGGGTTATGGCTCAGTGGTAGAGTGCTCGCCTAGCATGTGCGAGGCCCTGGGTTTGATCCTCAACACCACATAAGAATAAAGAAAACAAAGGTATTGTGTCCAACTACAACTAAAAAATAAATAAATAAACAAACAAACAAATAAATAAATAAATATAAAAAGAGAGAGATGAGGCAGGAGAGTCACAAATTTGAGGTCAGCCAGGCAACTTAGCAAGACCCAGTCTCAAAATAAAAAAAAAAAAAAGAGCTGATGTTATAGCTCAATGAAGGGTGTCCCTAGGTTTAGTCTCATTATGGGGGTGTGGGTCGGGGAACACTAGGACAGTATGAACTCAGATTCACCTTACCTTAGTTGTCTCAACCTGAGTTTTACTCAATCGTTGGATACAATGAAGCAGCTTATTCCTCTCCCTGAAGGAACTAAAATTACAAGATAAGTAAATTTATCATCATTTGCTTAATAATAACCCCAGGAGTATATAGTATATAATCAACTCTAGATTAGCTATATTGACAGATTAGATAGGAAGGAACCAGCAATAACTCCTAGGAACTCCCTTCTTCCTTTGCTTTTTAACTAAGAGCAATTAAGTTCCTACTGACTCAGGGGAGGCCTGCCCTAGGGTTCTGCCTTGATCCCCACCCCTCTTGGCAAACTCAGACTTTAGCATCTCTATAGAAGTCATCTTCACAATCCTGTACTGGTTTATGAGCATCAGGTATGACCCAAATATTATGAAGGCTTTAGCTTTATTTATATCCATCTTTCATTGTCTTTAATCCATCATAACACTTCAGTTTCTAGAAATAATTCAATAGGAATTAAATTTGAATAGCCCCAAATCTTGTTATGCCCTGCTTTATTTACAACTATTCATGATCCAGGTATACTGGCCTAACTCCTGGCTAAGTGTCAACAAAACAGCAGGCAAGGGTCTACTTAGCTGTTACTGATCTACAGATTAAAAAAAAAGAAACTTTTGCTAAAAGTCCTAGATTGACATAAGTCAGAAACACTACATTGGCCTCCATGCTATATACCCTGAGACCCGTAACAATACTGAATTTGAGAATGACTTTATTAGCTGGGCTCAAGTGGTGCATGCCTGTTATCCCTGGTACTTGGGAGGATGAGGCAGACGGATAACAATTTTGAGGTCAGCCTGGGCAATTAAGCAAAAATAAAATAAAAATTAAAAAGGACTGAGATGTAACTCAGTGACAGAACATTTGCCTAGCAAGTGCAAGCCCTGATTCAATCCCCCATGCTGCAAAACTGGAAAAATAATAATAATAATGATTTTCTTGGGATGTGTAGAGGCATTATCATAGATTATAAATGACTGAAGCAGGGGGGCTGAGATTGTGGCTCAGTGGTAAAGTGCTCGCCTAGCACGTGCGAGGCCCTGGGTTCGATCCTCAGCACCACCTAAAAGTAAAATAAAGATATTGTGTCCAACTACAATTAAAAAATAAATATTTTTTTTTAAAAATGATTGAAGCAGCACACTGTGTTTTACTTTTTTTTTTTTTTTTTTACTATTCCCCTTTCCTCCTCATCATTTTGACATAGTAAGTTCAGCACAAAGCCAGGCTTCAGGAAGTATTTACAAATGGGCTAAAACTGACAAGTTGAGGGTTATCACTTAGTTGACAAATACCAAACCTAAACTAACCTCACTTCTGCCCAATATTTTCCTGAACTGTTACTCAGTATTCATCACTTAATTAAAACCCAAAAAGAAACTAATTACAAGGAAACCACTGATTTAAAAAAATAATAGAGGGAAATAACCATGAAAAACTGGAGTATGCTTTTATTTAGCAAGGATATGGCATTAAATAAAAATTTAAAGTAGTCATAAGCTATGATACTTAGACTAAAATAAGATTTTCTGTTTCACAATATTTCTGCAATCTAATGCTTCTTACAACTATGTACATTTAATGTAACAAGGTTTATTTCCTAGAAAAGCCTTCATAAGTCAATAATCATAAAATTGAGAGAATACTAGAGTTATTTATCTAAACTGGATTCCCTCTATAATGAAGAGTCCAGGATGAGAACTTTCATACAGGTAATTTATTTTGAGGTACACACCCTGGAATAGGAACAGGGGAACTAGGAAGGGTAAAAGGAGATAGGAGAGAAAAACAGTACGAGGGTACAAGCTGGTGGCACTAGTATTACTGTGAGCAACCACGGCTATTAGAACTGTCATCCTGCAAGGTCCAGCAGAACTTTCTGAAGTGATGGAAATGTTCTGTATGTGCTCTGTCCAACACAGTAGCCAAGTGGCTACTGAGCACCTGAAATATAGCTACTGTTACACAGGAATTGATTTTTCTTTTTTATTTATTTTTTTTAGTTTTCGGTGGACACAACATCTTTGTTTGTATGTGGTGCTAAGGATTGAACCCGGGCCGCACGCATGCCAGGCGAGCGCGCTACCGCTTGAGCCACATCCCCAGCGCTGAGGAATTTATTTTTTAAAATCTGATTTAATTAATTAAGCCTGTAGCTAGTGGCTACCATACAGGACAAGACAGCTCTAAGGAGTCCTGCAGAACCTCAGAGTCATAGATGTGCCTTCTGGAATTCTGGCCCATAGTAAGCCTGCCATTAAATATTTGCTGCATGAATCAATAGTATTTGGGCTCACAGAAAATAATATAGTTCCTTTGAAAAAAAATACATCATTAGAACAATTACATTTAGTTCAAATGGTAAACAAGTATTATACACAAGAAATAGCAAGGGAGAGCCAGGAGCAGCGGTGCAACACCTGTAATCTCAGTGACTCAGGAGGCTGAGGTAGGAGGATGCACGTTTGAGCTCAGTGGTAAAGTGCCCCTAGGTTCAAACCCCAGTACCAAAAAAAAAAAAAAAAAAACCTAAAAAACAAAACAGTAAGAGAGACTTTGAGAACTGAGGTAGTCGAAATGTGGTTATAAAACAGCGAAGATGAGGTCCCTGAAGATTCTGAGTCAAAGGACGATTACTGAAAGTGCTGCATAATCATTTTTTCACAATCTACTTCCATTAACAAATTCTAAGCAATAGTGCATGAAGTAATTCAGTATAATCCTTTGTTTTGCTTCTTTGGTTACTGTTACCACAAACAACATTTAACTAAGTGAAATTCTACAAGAGACCATATTTCATCACTGTTGCCAATTTCCTAATAGAAACAAAATCCATTTTGAGGAATTTGTAAGTGGCTGGATTCTGAACTGAGATCTTTAAAGTGTTCCCACTCTAATCCAGACCCTGGAACCTTGAGCCATACTTAAAATATCTATGTATGTGTGTACAATTTATTAAGGCCTAATCATGTACTTCAACATTTTTTATACAATGGATACATCAAATCTTAAGATAGGTTTAGGAAGACCTAAGATATGTTAGGTCTTGTTCAAGATAGAGTTTTTTTTACTTGCCAGTATTTTTTCTTCCTATTGGTTCCTAAATATTTTCTGGTATGCATAATTCAATAATTTTGAACTTGAAGGCAAAACATTAGCCACAAACTTCAAGAAAGCCAGTCAACAAAATTCTTTAAAGTAGGAATCATCAGTAATATTAAAAACAAGATTTGCACACCAGAACAATAGCAAGGGATACTGCTCTAAAACACTTCATAGATTTAAAATGAGAACAGTTAATATCAGAGATATTGGGCTTTGTCCCTCAAAGGTGAATAAAATGTTTGGTTCCAATGTGAACTTTATCATTCTTACCTAACTCCAAGATTTTCAAGAAGTGATTCATCAAGAAAGGGCAGCAATGAACCTGTGATTTTATTGTCTATGGAAGAAAGAGGAAGAAAAACAAATTCAATATTTACAACATAAGTTTTTTTAATTTCTTTCAACTTGAATCCATCAGAATTTACTCAGACCAATGTTTACTGAGGACCCACTATAGGCAATGGACCGTGCCAGATATAGTTGGTCCTCTATCCATGGGTTCTATATCTGGTGTGATTGGAAAATACTGCATCTTGTACTGAACATGTACAGACTTCTATTTCTTGTCATTATTCCCTATGCACTACCACATAACTATACATGTAGCATTTATATTGTATTAGGTAGAGAGTAAACCAGAATGAAATGAAATATTTGAATGGAGATGCACACAGGTTATCTGCAAATATGACAGCATTTTATATAAGGGACTTGAGCATCCACAGATTTTGGTCATCTGCTGGCATCCTGGAACCAAACCCCTTTGGGCCCTAGGGCACAATGGTATCATTTTTTTTTTTCTACTTGTAAAGTCTTAAACTTCATAACTAAGCCAAGAAGCATTTTTCTGATAAATCAAGTAAAAATTTATATAGTATTCATACAAATTGTTTGCAAGAAAAGCCAGTAGCAAAAAGTGAAGTGAAACCTGATTATTTGTTGAGGTTTTACCAGGTCAGTGGCTTCCTGGTTTTTAAACAGGTAGATTTGGGGGGTGGAGGTAGGGAAGGAAACAAGCCTATTTTTTAAATGACAAGGTTAAAATTATTTGCTGAGGAGCACTCAAAGTGTTGAATTATTTCTAAAACCTCCTGGTAAAGCACATAATATTTTTTGTTTTGAAAGAATATAGAATGACAGCTTAAATTCTCCTGATTGATAATGACTACTAACATTTTGGATAATACATTTATCTATACATTTTGTAATTTTACATAAATTAAACTGTCTTATAACCTATTTTCCTCACCCAATGTGGTAAACATCTTTCTTGTCAATTATTAAAACTCCCACATCATCATTTTTAATAGTTATTTTGAATTAAACAGTGTAAATGGATCATAATACACTTAACCCTTTTTTCCCTAGGCCTTATTCTCCTTCCCTCTAAAATGGATATAAATGGATCCATATCACCAACTTGTAAAGATTTTTTTTAAAAAACTACATTTTTATTATTAGTTGACACATAGTAATTATACTTATTTAAGGGGGACATTGTGACATTTTAATACATGTATACAACATGTAATGATCAAATCAGGGAAATCAACATATCTCTCACCTCAGACATTTGTCATTTCTTTGTGTTGGGAACATTCAAACACCTAAGGCCAGGTGTGGTGTCATACAAGAGACCAAGGCAGGAGGATCACAAGTTCAAGGTCAGCCTCAGCAACTTAATGGAACCCTTGCTGCTTTATCTACTGATAACGTGTGTTTCTCGGCCACTATATAAAATATATTTTGTTCTGAGTCACAGTTTAAAAAGTTTGAGACCATTCTCCTGAAGTCACATTGCTTGTAGGTTGCAGACAAAAACTTCATCAGGATACCAGGTGTGCCCATTTTCTCAGCCCATGCTCTCCTTTCTTGGCATCTGAATTCTTTCAGGTGTCCCCCCAACTTGTAAAGATTTTATAAGATAAAACATGTAGGGGCTGGGGACATAGGTCAGTGGTAGAATATGTGCTTAGCATGCACAGAGCCCTGGCTTCCATCCCTTGCATCACAAAAACAAACAAAAAAGAACTATATAAAGTGCAAAGTGCATAGAACAGTACTTCACACAAAGTAAACACTCAATATTTTTTATTATTATGGCTGGATATTTGGATCATTTTTACTTTTTCTTTTTTGCTATCTATAACCAATGGTTAGTTGGTTAGTTCTACTGAAGTGTTTTGTTTTTTTTTTTTCTTTTAATTTTATTGTTTTGAGACAGGTTCTTGCTAAGTTGTCAGGCTGGCTTGAATTTTCAATCCTCCTGCCTCAGCCTCCAGAATTGCTGAGATTACAGGTGTGTTCCCTCCCCATCCCCAACCTCCAGTGGTTTCCTCCACTTGTTAAGGGATAGTTGGCAAAATCCAGGTGAGGTGGCACATAGATGTAATCCCAGAGGCTTGGGAGTCTGAGGCAGGAAGATCACAAATTCCAAGCCAACCTCAGCCTCAGTAAATAAAAAATAGAAAGGGATGGGGCTATAGGTCAGTGGTAGAGCAACCTCGGTTCAATCCCCAACACCACAAAAATAAATAAATAAATACCCAGCTCTTTGTTTTTCCTAGTGGTGTGACCTTTGTAAAGATACTTAACATCTCTGGGCCTCACAAACAGCATCTTTAAAAAGTGTGAATTATAGCATCTAATTTCAGAGTTCTTTTGAGTCTATATTCCATGAGGAAAAGAAATCAGTACCTGGTGCTTGGTTTTGTATAAAAACAAATCTAGATACAGATACGTTTTAACTAGAAAGAAATACTACTGCAAATAGGCAGAAAACTCCAATCTCAGAAATCTGCAAATGGTTCAAAATCAAACAGAAAAGGCTTTTCTTTTATAGGATAAAGGAAGGACAAGCAAAAATAGCAAAACCTTTGGAGGGAGCTGGATAAGCAAGAGGAAATGACCAGTGGGGTCTTATAGAACAGTGTCCCACATTGTTCAGCAGGGTTCCCAGGAGAAGCTGATGGGGGGGGGCATGTTCCACATCCTTAGTACTTAGATCTGGGGACATGCAAGAGTTCAGGGGCCTGTAAAGCAAGAGAGAAACTTGACTAATGTTTATTCAAGACAAAGCAGCCAATAAGATATGAGCAAGAGGGGATACTTGGTCAGTTTCAACCAACTGAAAGTACATAGTGTTTTCTGCTAGCCTTAGACTGTGGGTTCAAGAGAACACAAATCATTCTGGAGGCTGATGAATTAATTGACAGAACACCACTGAAACAAGAGAGCCACAGCATTGCCAATCCCCTTTTAGAGATAGAAAATATAAAACTAGAGTGGGGCGAGGTGGTGCTCGCCTGTAATCCCAGCAGCTTGGGAGGTTGAGGCAGGAGGATAGCAAGTTCAAAGCCAGCCTCAGCAATTTAGGGAGGGCTTAAGCAACTCAGCAAGAACGTGTCTTCAATAAAATACAAAAAGGAGCTGGAGATGTGGCTCAATGGTTAAGTGCCCCTGGGTTCAATCCCCAATACCAAAAAGAAAATATAAAACTACTTCATCCCACCTGTTGCTCATCAAAGAAAAAGCCAATCCCTGTAGTGGAGAAAAACAAAAGGGGGAAAGGGAAAAAGAGAAACATGGGGGCTGGGATTGTGGCTCAGCGGGACCGGGGTTTGATCCTCAGCACCACATAAAAATAAAGGCATTGTGTTGTGTCCATCTACACCTAAAAAATAAGTATTAAAAAAAAAAAAGAAAGAAAGAAAAGAAAAAGAGAAGCATAATTCCCTTTAGGTCCTGAACCATTGAAGTTCTTATCAACCCAGTCTTCAACCTAAGCAAACCAGGCTCCACCCCACAAATACAAAAAAATTACTGAATTTGCAAGCCACCTTCCTAAGAACACCTCAGAGAATGAGGCAGGGATTAAGCTTCACACCACCACAAAAAGCTGAGCAGATTTCAAGTGGATAATGGATACCTGAACATGAACTAGCAGACCCAAACTGTGTGGCCATGTGGGATCCTGGGGTTTGGTGGTCAACAACCCCAGTGTTCAGATTTAGGAAGGGAAACTGCTAACAAAAAGTACAACATGCAGGGCATGGTGGTGCATGTCTGTAATCTGAGCAGTTTGGGAGGCTGAGACAGGAGGATCACGAGTTCAAAGCCAGCCTCAACCAACAGCAAGGTGCTAGGCAACTCAGTGAGATCCTGTCTCTAAATAAAATGCAAAATAGGGCTGGGGATGTGACTCAGTGGCTGAGTGCCCCAGAGTTCAATCCTGGTACCCCCCCCCCCCAAAAAAAAGAGTAAAATATAATCATTACCCAGCTTTGCAAATCTAATCAAACGTTGAGCCCCACTGGGTTGAGACAGTAGTCAGGGGGGAATTCAGAGATTCACAAACCAAGTTCCTTCCCCTTAGGAAAACCCCAAATTCGGGAGGGGCAATGTGGGAACAGAAACATAAAAGCATCAAAACCTCTCATGTGGCAAGTGTTCAAGGAGCTGCGGTTACACAGCGGGGGTCCCCTGAGCCTGGTAAGACTGAATGACAGCAAGCCTCCCATCAAGGTCTGGGGAGAGACGTCTTCTACCTAAAAGGGGGAGCCGGGCACGGCGAGCCAGCAAGTAATCCCAGCTACTCGGGAGGCTGTGGCAGGAGGATCGCCAGGCTGGAGGCCAGCCTCAGCAATTTTGGGAGACCCTGTCTCAAAACTTAAAAAGGGCTGTGGGGGGGGGGGGGGGTAGCTCCATGGTAGGGTGTCCCTGGGTTTAATTCCCAGTACCAAGAATAGGAAAAAAAAAAAAAAATCCTGCAATGAGTACCTCATATGTGCTGGGAACATAAAACTCAGTCAGGCTGAGTCCCTGTCTTCAGAGAGTGTCCAGTCTAGAAGAAAAGCTAGAGGTGATTAAAATCTCGTTCTGATGATGTTCTGACAAAGAAGCTGAGACAGGATGATCTATCTCAAGTTCAAGGTCAGCCTCAGCAACTTTGAGATACCTGGTTTCAAGATAAAAAATAAAAAGGGCTGGAATGTGGCTCAGAGATAGAACGCCGCTGGATTCAGTAAAATCAAACCAAAAAAAGTATTGGCGGGTAGCAAGTCTCCCCCGTCCAGCTCTTGGGTGGCAAGTTCCTGAAGAAGGTCATCAGAGTAAGATCCAAATCCGCATTTGTCCCTGCCAGGCTCACAACCCCCAACCCCGGAGCTCCCGGCCACAGGTCCACCCTCTGGGTGGCTCCCGGTCGCGTCCCCCTTCCCCGCCTCGGGCCCCTTCTGCGAGGGCCTCCCGCCCCCTGACGTCCCTTCCCCCGAACCCCCGCCTCAGGTCCACCCCTCTGGCGCCTCCCGGGTCAGCCTCCCCGTCTCAGCTGCGGGTCCTCTTGTGAGGCCCAGTCTCTCAGGGGGCGTCTCCTCAGGCCAGGCCGCCCCCCGCCTCGGGTCCCCATCCCTCGCCCCTCAGCCCGGCTACCTCGGAAGTTTTCCAGCAGTTTGGGCTCCTGGAAGCCACTGCGCGCTAGGAAGGCGCACACCTGCTCCGGGCCCCAGGTCTGGTGGTCCGGGTGGAGTTCCGGGGTCCTGTCCGCCGCTGCGGAAGGAGTGTTTGGTGGGGTTCTCGGGCTGCCATCGCATCTGGGCCGCTTTGAGAGCTGCTCAGGATCGGATCTCCGCATGGCTACACCCGGCGCCGGGCGAAGCCCAGTTAAGAACCGCGGCGAGCAGCCCGCGCGCAGGCGCACTGACCGCAGAGTGCCGGCTGCGAGTCCACTCAGCGTGCCAATCTAGGGGCCTCCGGCGCAGGCGCACTGGCAGATAGCGCTTGAGCCAGACGGCCCTGCGGCTCTAGCCCCAGGCTCGACGCGCAGGCGCAAAGACGGTCCGGTCGTCAGTTTCGCTCGGGTGTTTACGGGAAAAGGCGGAGCTAGAAGCCAACGGGTTGTGCTGGGGTTGTGAGGAGATGCTAGCAAATACAGCGCTGGAGGGGAGCGTGGCTGGGTCCAAAACAAATCTGGTCACACTCTGGATTAGGGGTTCTTCTGGTGGATGGAGAGTACCCTCCTCCAAATGTGTACTAGGTTTCCCCTTGGCGTTTAAGACACCCCAAAACCTCTAAAAGACCGCGCGAACCTGCCAGTAGCTTCCCAACACAGACAAAAATGGGTAGGGGGAACCATTGGAAGACTCCCCAAATTATTTCAAACCTCATGCGAGAGGGTCTTTTTGCATTTCACAAATTCTACAATCTTGCTGGGTAGCAAGAGGACCCTGGAGATGCTGTTTTCAGGTTGCTATGCAGGGCAGACTTAAAATGTTCCAAATGGAGATGGATTCCCGGAAAGAAGAATCCTTGACCCCTCTCTCGGTCCTAAATCCCCAGATAAAGGGAAGTGGTCAATCTGATTACCTAAAATTTCCCCACCAGGACTTAGTTACTAACTGGTAGTAACAGCATTTCCCCTTCATTTTAGCCACTTCGGGGCATGGCCCAACTCCCTCTTTAAATCCTAGTCCATGCATTATTGGTAAAAAGACTACAACTACCACTAATAGTGACGCCAACACACCTTTCCAGCAATCAAACCATAGATTCATCTACCGCATGAAGAACGAATGAGGCGGATTAGCTTATCATTAGCAGTATGAATTAGTGGTTAGCCAAAGGGCTTGGGCATAGCTCAGTGATACAGCACAAGTGCAAGGGAGGCTCTGGGTTCAATTCCCAGTTCCAAAACAAAACAAAAGTTGACAAGCTGAAATATTGTTAGCCGAAAGCTCTACTGTGTACCAGTCGCTATTCTGAAGGCTTTATAAATACTGATTCATTCAGTTATCACAATAACCTTGGAATGTAGGAAATTGAGATACAAAGACAGGGTTGGAACTCTTGGTAGAGCGCCTGCTTTGCATTAGAGAGGCCCTGAGTTCAATCCCCTCCACCAAAGAGAGAGGGAAGAAAAGAAAGAAAAAGTAATTTGCCTGAGATCTCACAGCTAGGAAATGAGAAACCTAGATTCAAACCCAGAAAATGGAGCCGGCCATGCTTTTAATAACTAGCCAACCATTGCTTGTCAATGAGAGTTTTGGTGTAAACTTGTTTTCTATTAGCTAGCCCAACTTTTTAGGTTGCTTGCTGTTCCCACAGACCCTTGGGGGAAAGTATAGGGAGGGTTCCATTTTCACAGAAGACCAGGCCCCAAAAAGCATGCCCTAACCAGCTAGAACACTGTGGAAACTACCCAGCAGTTGCCAAGACTTATGAAACTGAAACAAGAAGGTAAAAGAGAAAACAAATAGCATTTGTCTGAGTGAGATATTATAAGTCAGAAATAATTTATTTGGAAAACTGTTTATAAGACTTGTGGGGAAATCTTCCCCCACAGAAGGTTTCCTAGGCAATAAAGATAATATAAACAGGGTTTTTAGTTTAATCACTTGAACTTGTTCAGTTGCTTTTCAGAATTTTTACTAGGTTTTTGTTTGTTCAAAAGCACAATTTCTGTCAGGCACTGTATTCCATGCCTATAATCCCAGCTATTCAGGAGGCTGACATAGGAGGATTCCAAGTTCAGGGTCAGCCTTGGTACTTTAGGGAGAAACCATCTCAAAAAATAAAAGGTGGGGTTACAGCACTTACCTAGTATGTGGAAGGCCCTGGCCTCAATCCCTAGTAGCATTGAAAAAAAAAAAGTGTAATTTAAGCCATGTTTATTATTTCTTCCCATCTTCTATTTCTCAGGGGCCCCTGATATTATAAAAGATGCTTGATTACTTGCTCCAGGTCACAGGGCTGGTAAATGACAGAGTGTAAGCAACAGTTGAGATTCTAAGGCAGTGCTAACTCCAAATCTTAAGTTCTTTCCAGTTTGACACTTCACTTAACTCCACTTGCAGTCCTGTGATTCTGTTGCATCCGGGCATTCTACACAATGACAGGAACCCCTGGGAACAATGACAGGAATCCCTGCCCACGCTCTCCTTTTCTCAAGTTAAGCTTGCCATCCTCAGTCCTAGAAAAGACAATATGATCGGCTGGGGATGTGGCTCAAGCCGCATGCGTGCGGCCTGGGTTTGATCCTCAGCACCACATACAAACAAAGATGTTGTGTCTGCCGAAAACTAAAAAAAAATTAAATAAATAAATATTTTTTTAAAAAAAGATTCTCTCTCTCTCCCTCTCCCTCCTCTCTCTCTCTCTTAAAAAAGAAAGAAAGAAAGAAAAGACAATATGATCAACTATTTTGAGGCCCACTGCCCAGTGACCTTGAATACTCCCAGCAATTCTTCCCTGATGTCCAACTAGCTGTCACCCAACTAGCCAAATTGTGCAATTTTATCCTGGGAGCATTAACCTTGTGGTTTTACATCTCTCCACAACTTCCTCTGCAACCAGTCCTGCTGGTTCTCACCTCCAGCTAACATCACTCTCCGGTTCTTATTTTCACTTCCTTTTCTCCTTTTATTGAGCTAGGCCTCCTCAAACATTCTTTTCCCCAGCTGTGCAAATCTCAAAGCCAAGCCAAAATCCTTTAAAAATAAAAAAGTAAAAGTACTGTGCTGGTGGTGTAGCTCAGTGGTAGAGGACTTACCTAGCATACATGAAACCCTGGGTTTGATTCCCACACGGAAAAAAAAAATACTGATTTCTGATGTGATTAAAAAAGCACTCAAGAGGCTAGGGTTGTGGCTCAGCGGTAAAGCACTCACCTAGCATGTGTGGGGCCCTGGGTTCAATCCTCAGCATCACATAAAAATAAATAGGGGATGGGATTGTGGCTCAGAGGTAGACCATTTGCCTAGTATACGTGGGGCATTGGGTTCGATCCTCAGCACCAATAAAAATAAAATAAAGATATTGTATACACCTATAACTAAAAAAATATTAAAATAAATAAATAAAATAAAGGTATTGTGTCCAACTACAACTAAAAAACAAAAATGCTCAAGAAGGAAAACCTGTGAAGTAAAATGTGTACATACATAGAACATCTCCTCAGATGTTCTCAGAAATTCCACTTTTGCCTTACTTTATAATTTATAATCTTCATAACAATCTCCATGAATAGATATTATAGTGTTAGGTTCCTAGGGTTACAAATACGCTAGTCAGCGGGGTGCAGTGGTCCACCCCTGTAATCCCAACAATTTAGGAGGCTGAGATAGGAGGATTGCACGTTCAAGATCGGGCCTCAACAATTTAGCGAGGCCCTAAGCAACTTAGCAAAACCCTGCCTCAAAATTTAAAAACAAACCAGGTGCCATGGCGCATGCCTGTAATCCCAGAAGCTTGAAAGGCTGAGACAGGAGGATCGCAAATTCAAAGCCAGCCTCAGCAAAAGCAAGGCACTAAGCAACTCAATGAGATCCTGTCTCTAAATAAAATACAAACGAGGGCTGGGGAGTGGCTCAGTTGTCAAGTGCCCCTGAGTTCAATCCCTGGTACCAAGAAATAAAAATAAAAAATAAAAGGACTGGGGCTGTAGTTCAGTGGTAAAGCACCCCTAGGTTCAATCTCTAGTACTAAAAGAATGCAAACAAACCAAAAAACCCAAATGCACTCATTAATTCACCCATCAAATATGAACATTTACTGGGTACTTCCTATTTGCCTGGCATTGCTCTAGACTCCTGGGACACATCCATGGACAAAACAAAACAGACAGAGACTCCTTACCTAGTAAAACTTATATTCTAGTGGGAAGATGCTGGTAACAAGTGATGATATAATTAGCAATGATAAACTGATAGTCAGGAGTTGGCACTGTGGGAAAAATGTAGAGCAGGGTAAGAGACTAAGAGCAGAGGGAGTTAGGTCCCCATTTTGCAAGGGGGTGGTCAGGACTGGTCTTTGGAAGAGGGGACATTTGAGCAGAAACTTGAAGGAGATGGAGTCAGCTATGCAGGTGGAGGAAAAGAATTCCAGAGAGAGTGAACAGTAAATTTACTGAAGTAGAAACATATGTGGAGTGAGAAATAGCAAGGAGGCCATTGTGGCGGGTGCAGAATGAGTCAAAGTGGGAGCAGTAAGAGATGAGGTCAAATAAGGTGCATAATGTGGGAGCCACAGGCGCTGGGAGGGTCTCATCCTTAGGGCTCCATATCCAGATGTGAGAGAGAGAGGCTCTACTCCTCCAGGCCCAATAGAAAATTGTAATAGGATGACTTCAACAAGCCTGGGTTGCATCCCTTCCTGAACTAATCCCTGTGGACAAGGTTATAAAAAAGATTGACCCAGTCAAGTCACATGTTTACCCTTTGGGCAAAGGTGAAGTTCTAGTTCCATGAGGAAGAGAATTAGTTTCGGGCAAAGACGCTAATGTTATCATAGCCATTTAATAGATGCAAAGCTCAGAGAGCTGAAGAGACTCGCCCAGTGTTACATACAGGTCCTAAGTGTTCTGGGCTTGGCATCTGGTTAGGCCTTGAAAATCACTATTCTCTTTCTTTCTTTTCTTCCTTCCTTCCTTCCCTTCTTCCTTCATTTCTTATAATGTCTATTTTATTCTGCTGTCCTTCCTTTCCCCCCTTCCCCTCCCCTCCCATCACTTCTCTCTACCCAATCTAATGTGACACCTTTTTTTTTTTTTTTTAATCTTTCTGCAACTTGAGAGGACCTTAAAAAGTCTATTGCTTTTAAGCTCTTGCAGAGACAGGGCATCTTATCCTATGGAGTATAGAATAACTCCCTGTGACACAGTGTCTGGGGTAGGAGTAGCCATGTATTTGGAGGTTGGGATGCTCAAACATATAAAAAGTGAGCAGACTTCCCTTAGTGGGGTGGGGCATCTCCAGGTTAAAAAACAAAAACAAAAC